CACAATCTATGTACATGTAAAAGATATATAGAATATATTAGAGAATATATAGAACATATAAGAGAATATAAAGAATATATAAGAGAATATATAGAATATATACGAGAACATATAGAATATATACGAGAATATATAGAATATATAAGAGAATATATAGAATATATACGAGAATATATAGAATATATAAGAGAATATATAGAATATATAAGAGAATATATAGAATGTATAAGAGAATATATAGGATGTACAAGAGAATATATAGAATATATAAGAGAATATATAGAATATATACGAGAATATATAGAATGTACAAGAGAATATATAGAATATATACGAGAATATATAGAATGTATACGAGAATATATAGAATATATAAGAGAATATATAGAATGTATAAGAGAATATATAGAATATATACGAGAATATATAGAATATATAAGAGAATATATAGAATATATAAGAGAATATATAGAATATATAAGAGAATATATAGAATATATTAGAGAATATATAGAACATATAAGAAAACATAAAGAATATACAAGAGAATATATAGAATGTACAAGAGAATATATAGAATATATAAGAGAATATACAGAATATATAAGAGAATATATAGAATATATAAGAAAATTGATATCCCTAAACCACGACTATTATAATTGTTGTTTTTATTATTATTATTATCATCATTATTTATATTGAAAATTATTAAACTCTTCCTTAAAGATCGTCTTCGTTTTTTCGTCTTTCAAACAAATGCTGCAAAATATTTCAAAGATCAAAGACGATTTTCAATCCTTCTCACAACTGTCATGTTTCGTGGGACTCCCTGTAAAAAGTAACTAAAACAGTGCATCTGCATTAAACACTGTTATCAATGTAAAAAAAACTTTGTATTTCACATACAGTCGTCGTCGAATATATCAAGACAAGAAGACGACTTTCAAATTAAATTTTGATTTATGTCAAGCTTTAAACAGAATAAATACACATAAACACGGAAGCTATGAGAAGCTGTTAATTTAAAAAGTTTCTTTTTAATTACTTTTAATTCGAAAAAAAGCTTGTTAAGCTTAAATAAAAAAATCGTCTTCAATGTATTGAAATAATCGCACAACATATGGGATATGGGACACCATCTCTAAATTAATTCATTAAAGGCATGGTCATTCCTAGAATAAGTTGCTTATTATTTTATGAGACACCCTGTAATCAGTATTATTATATATTTGGGAGTGGGACACCCTGTAATCAGTATTATTATATATATGGGAGTGGGACACCCTGTAATCAGTATTATTATATATAAGGGAGTGGGACACCCTGTAATCAGTATTACCTGAAAAACTCCGATAAGACTGTATTGTCCAAGACTATCATTTTGATTCATGAAAGTTGATGTCGAATCAGATTTTAAAATTACAGTTTTACATATCCCGATCAAATTTCCTGAAGTAAAATCTTTATTTATAAGTCTTTAAATGACCTGTGGGCATAATATCATGTTGCATTAGAACTTTAATAATGGGGAAATTTTTTTGTTTTTAACAATTTTAGCAATTTTCAAACTAAAAAAAATATTTCTCTCATTCCTGATTATACCATGTAAAAAAGCGTTCTTTTGTAAATCGGACACACCCCTCTTTATATGGAGAATTTTTTTGTTTAAAACATGACTAAATTATCTATAAATAATTATTTTGATTGTGTAACTTAAGCTTTTAAAATGATTAAAAAGACTTTTGTTCCCATTTCGCAAACTTTTTGGCGAAATTTTTTTTGGCGAAAATGAGTGAAGAGAAAAAATGCGAAATTTCGCAGAAAAAGTTCGTGAAATAAGGAGGAAATTTGCAACAACTAGTTCGTGGTTCTTGGACCATGAAGTAGGAAATTACTGCCATTTAAAATTATTTTAGATTTTAGATTTTAAAAAAGATCGTTAAATCCTTATACTCTAACACGATTCACCATGCAACTTACAGCTTTAGGGTGGCTAAATGTGGCAAAAGCTTTTCAAGAGTTTTAAATCAGGGAATTAACTCAGTTCTGTTATTCAATAATTAAATACTTATAGTTTTGCTAAGATGCTACTAGAGTTAGGACTGGTTGTGATCACTCTTTTGTTACTGTTCTATCGATCCATCACCAAGAACTTTAACCATTGGAAGAACAAAGGGATTCCATATGTTCAAGAACCAGATTTAATGAGTTGCGAGATGTAGTTTAACTACAGTTTAAATCAGAACTTAGGAGGTACGGAAAGAATTTATAAATGTCGTTCTCTAAACCTACTCATAATGGAATGCTGCAGATATTTAGTTTCTTTTATTGATTGATAATATGAAGCTCTTTAAAACTGTACCTGCATATGTCATGGCAATTTTTTAATTTTGCAATTACTGAGATTTAAGTAATAGTAAAAAACCATTGAAAACATTTTATAAATTGTTTCAATGTCTATTGTCTACGAAGTTCTGAGTTATGATGTACCTACTGTAGAATGTTAAACTGTACCTACTGTAGAATGTTAAACTGTACCTACTGTAGAATGTTAAACTGTACCTACTGTAGAATGTTAAATAAACTGTACCTACTGTAGAATGTTAAACTGTACCTACTGTAGAATGTTAAACTGTACCTACTGTAGAATGTTAAACTGTACCTACTGTAGAATGCCTCAACTGGAATTCAAGGAGAGGAAAGATATTACGCGAACCCAGATCTGTTTAACCCAGAAAACTTTTCCAAACAAGCAAAAGAGTCGAGAAGTGCGAACACTTTCCTGGGCTTTGGTCAAGGTCCCAGAGCCTATGAGGTTTCCATTGCTAGAACTTAAGATGATGCAATGATGGAATTACTGCATAATTCCGGTGCTCCAACAATTTAGATGACAATTTGAAATTTCTTAGAGTGAATTTTTCTTTCATTTATCGTGACAAAAACCCTAAAACTATAGAGCTTGATCCACAGACCCAGCTTGGTATACATGAAAGGAAGTCTATTTGCCAGACTTTCTAAACTAATCTGAAATGATTCACTTGTAACAACTTATAGGTTTCATGCTTAAACATTGCATTAGCTGAGTACGTTTAGATGGATATTTTCTGTAACTGTAAAATGTATTGCAAATTAACATGTATGTTTAATGAAAATAGTCTACCTGTATTGCATCTGATAAATCCTGTATTACACAAAGATGTTTTCAGATCCAGGTTATATTCAGACTTTTCACCAAACCTTAAGTTTTTAAAATTCTTATTCTTTTAATTGGAATTTTTTCTAAAAATGTCAAACACCAAAAGAAATAATGGTTAAAAGTTTAATCTCAGAATTGACCCACATCAATAAATAATTTCGTTAATTTATGTTCTTTATTTACGTTCTTTATAAAGTTACCATACATTAAAAAAATTTAATTTTCAATTTTTTTCTTTCATGGAGATTTCAAGCCTCTGGGTGCATTTTTCTTCCTTTTGCGGAATAAGAAAAATTATATCCGCCTAAAATGTTTAACCCCAACTTATTTCCATCAAAAAATGATTTTAAATCTAAAAATGTTAATTTTGTTAAGTTTAAAAAAAAGATAAATGCTTTGTCGTTCTGAGTTTCTTACCTTATATCACTGCAGCAGGTTATATGGATATTAACAGCTGGAGTTAGTTCTACCTCTGAACTAATGTTATATTGATGAATATAGTTCCAACCAGATGATAAATTGGCTCACCTTATATTACTGCAGCAGGTTATATGAATATCAACAGTTGGAGATAGTTCTACCTCTGAACTCATGTTATATTGATGAATATAGTTCCAACCAGATGATAAATTGGCTCACCTTATATCACTGCAGCAGGTTATATGGATATCAACAGCTGGCATTAGTTCTATCTCTGAACTCATGTTACATTGATGAATATAGTTCCAACCAGAAGATAAATTGGCTCACCTTATATCACTGCAGCAGGTTATATGGATATCAACAGCTGGCATTAGTTCTATCTCTGAACTCATGTTATATTGATGAATATAGTTCCAACCAGATGATAAATTGGCTCACCTTATATCACTACAGCAGGTTATATGGATATCAACAGCAGGCATTAGTTCTATCTCTGAACTCATGTTATTTTGATGAATATAGTTCCAACCAGATGATAAATTGGCTCACCTTATATCACTGCAGCAGGTTATATGGATATTAACAGCTGGCATTAGTTCTATCTCTGAACTCATGTTATTTTGATGAATATAGTTCCAACCAGATGATAAATTACCGGGATAACTAGTGTTCAATCTAAAATAAAAATGTTATACAAAAGAACTACTGCTACTTGATTCAAGAACATTCATCCAATTCAATCTTATTAATGTTTTAAAACATATATTCCATGCATGTTTGTATAAAGAGCCTGTATCTGGATCTTTTGGCATTCGTTTTTGATAATTGCTCCATTCCAAGAACTTTTTTAGATTTAAGATGGATGGAAGACTTTTAATATTTATAATTAGGTTGGTTAAAAATGATTTGTAAAAGAGGAGAATACTTTATTCACAATAATATCCTTGAAACCTTTATCTGATCAATAATGTGGAAGATATCTTCGTTTTTATGGTATAAAAAGTAATTAATTTTCACCATTTCTCCCCAGAACATGCTTAAGTCACTTTTGTGGAGAAACCAAAAACCAAAACATGGATATCTAATTCATACATGATCAGATAAAGCCTCCAAGGGTATCGTTGTAAATCGGCCATCTTTACATAGAGGATCACTTAAAATTACGCTTACAGTCCATTTAACAATGTCAAATTTTTTAAATAAAAAGTATGGTGAATATTGATGAAGAAAAAAAATTCTGTTGTTAATCTGTGATAGTTCCATTTTCTTAAAGGGGTTTAATCCAACTTCTAACTGTGTTTAATTTTCTAAATTAGTGGTCGTTAACTTGAAATGCTGAGTATAAATAGAAGAAAAAACGTTAATTTCATGTTAAGAGGCCCAAGCCATAATTATAGCTCACAAAGTAGAAACCACGCCAGATAAGAAGATTAATTAAATCAAATCAAACCTATTGATGAGCCTTACAGGAGTTGGTCGACTAAGGTTTCCCAACTTAAAGTTAGGTTTAAGATCTCCAATTTCAAGAGTGGCGTTAAGATCTCCATTTTCAAGAGTGGCGTTAAGATCTTTGATTTTCTTGTTGGATTTGAGAAATTTGCTCTTTAGATTGAAGTAGGAATCTTTGATCTCCTGGTTGGAGTGGAGATCTTTGATCTTTGGATTAGAGTTGAGATCGTTGATCTCCAGGTTGTAGTTGTGATCTCCAGTCTTGATATCACTAACCACCCAGACAGAGTTGATTCTGAAGAGGTAGATGGGATTTTCAACATGCTTCCAAATCTCCATATCATTCTGCTGCTGATATAAACCAAATATTGACATGTCTTCTCTAAAATAATTTTGATACAGATTTCTTGGACAGAAGAACTCAACTGATAGCGAGGAGGGGGAGTGACACCCCCCCCTCCCCCACCCCATCTTTTTAAGACAAAAATAACCCAAGCGGGATAGGGTTCAGCATTAGCAATGCTATTCCCCTTTGCATGTTATCTCAATGATAATAAAATGTGCATGGCATGATTTATTTTGTCTGGCATAGTTTGGCTATTTTCCTTGAGGCTACAGATAATTAGTTTTCGGATAGGAAAACAAAATTATCTTAATCAAAAATGAACATTTTTGACATTTTACTACACATTTGCATACTAAAACTTCAGTACAGTAAACATTCAATGTATATGAAAAACAAAATTGTAAAATGTAGAATTTCAATAATAATGAAGAGACTGATAAGGTAAAATTGAAGCGACCAATATTAGTGCTATCTGAAGTCTTTGTTTTGAGAAATTGATATAAAACTGTGTCAAACTCATATGGTCAACGAAGCCCTGTGACCAAATACTGAATTGCCATTGGTGGAAATTCTGGTCATGTGATACAGACGTTATGATTTCATTATCAATTATATCTATTAAAAATGAATGAGCATAATATTCAAATCATAATAGGAGTGTATCTAAACTTTTTAGGCTCCTCTGATTAATCGTAATTTTCAGATTTGTTACTTATTTGCTGAATATTGCCTTTTTAAAACTTTGATTAATATACCAAATCTCATACATATATAATTTTGAAACAGATTCATATCAATTTCTTGAGAGAGGAACATCAGAAAGTACTAATATTATTCACAATCGCGTTCTAAAATGTTTAGGTTTTAGCCTATACCCCCTTTCATTTTACCTGAACAGTCCCTTTAAGCAATTAAGCTGAGTCCTTACCTGGTATCTTGGGCTGGATTTGACGAAGCCAAATGAAGAGAGCTACAAAAACACTCACTAGCAATGATTACATCTTTGAAATATTCCAATTTTTAAAGAATTCCCGTCAACATGAATTAATGTTAATTTATCGCTAGCTTTACATCTTGGATCATTGGATATTTTCAATAAAAACTCCTCTTTTCAATAAAGATTTTGAGAAGAACATCAATGTTTTGAATTTCTAGTATGTAACAATCTATGTACATGTAGAAGCAAATTTGTGTGTAAGAATTGGCAATTTCGCACAAATTTGCTAGCCCACGTGCCCAATATGCGATGAAATACAAAATTTGCAAGCAAATGCAGAATTGCTTTCAACAAAAATAAAAATTCAATGCATGTGCGCAACTTCTCGAGTAGAGGGTTACTTGAAATTACATCCACAATCCCTTAAAACATGTACAGTCCCTTAAAACATGTACAGTCCCTTAATCCCTTAAAACAAGTACAGTCCTTAAAACATGTACAGTCCCTTAAAACAAGTACAGTTCCTTAAAACATGTACAGTCCCTTAAAACATGTACAGTCCTTAAAACATGTACAATCCATTAATATACATATTTGAATAATTTGAATATTTCCTAAAATGTGAGAAGCTAAAATACAACTGAAAACTATCTGCTGCATTCTCAGAACCATTTTTTCAATTCTCTGAAACTATAGAGCAGAGAAAATTATGCAAAATTATCCTTATTCTATATACTAAAGCTGTTTGCTCATTTATATATATATATAATTATTTGATCCTTCTTCTATATAAGAAATCTATTTGCTCATGTATATATATATATATTTATATATAGATGTCGGTTTGTACAACTAGGTTGTCAAGTACAATAGATGGCAACACAGAAAGTTTATTACAGCTGTTTCTACGTCATAAGTGTCAACTCAATTTCTGTGTCTGACAAAACTATAAATAAAAGTGATATTGTTAGACTAAAGTGCTTATCTTTCAGTGAAATTAGTGCAATTTTTTCTGTTTTTACACTTTTTTATTTAACGTTCTATTGACTAAATAACGGGGTTGAAACTGATATTGTACATAACCCTTTAAAATTCGAAAGTATAACGTTAAAACATATTTCAGAAATGTTAATAAATGTTCGTGGAAGTGCCATCTATTGTACTTGACAATCTATTTGGGTATGTATATATATTTGTATGTCAGCTATAGCTGGTTGACATTTTTTGAGGGAACCCTTCAGTACCCTAGGGGTAACATCGGCTAAAATGATTCAACCTTTTTTTCGAAAATCGAATTCTTTTAATTAAATTTTTTTTCAAACATCTAAATTTTTTTTCGAAATTCGATTTTAATAAAAATTCCACGGTCACCGCCGGGCACTTCAGCCAGTTTAATGATAAATAACAATTTGTAAAGAGTAAAAGTACCAGGGACCGAATTTACTGAATTTGAGCTAGATTGCGTAACTACCTTTCGCCGGTACAAATTTTAAATCACTGATTAAAAATTAAAGATTCCTGGAATTAAATCCATGATTCCGGATTTGAACCGGCGCGGCACCAATTCATTAAATTCGGTCCATGAGCTAAGGGGAGAAAACTATTGTGCACGGAGTATCACTTGAATGCTTGATCTTGAACTCCAATGTGGACTTTTTTAAATTTAGGATTAATGCTTGATCAATTAATTAAAGTGGAAGAGCAATGGTTGATCCGGGATAAGTTCTCACGTTTAGATTTATGTATTATTAAATCACAAAAATATATGTTGAAATTGCATTAAGGAACTTTATATTATTATATTTTTATTTTGATTTTTGCATTGCCTTTAGAAAACGCCCCGGGGTAATATTACGCCCCGGTAGTAGTGTGGCACAAGTCTTCATTTTGACATTTTTGCCACAAAATAAATTTAAAACAGTATTAATTAACATCTGTTAAATTTAATAATATTGTTAAATAAGCTTTCCATGTGATTAGAAAAATGTTGAAAACTATTTTCGTGTCGAATGTCGTCTTCCTTTCAAAGACACAGCTATCTTAATTCTACTCCTTGCACAAATTATGTTATAACCAGGGGTAAAAAATAAAAGAATTAATCAAATATTTTGAAATTTGATTTTTTTTTACCCAAACACAGTAGTTCGGGCGCTAGTTCATTTTCTACAATTTTAACAATTTCCCGGCCATCTTGTTTTATAAATAGTTAAATAATTCTCAAATATCGTCTTCCTTTGACGTAATATTTGCAATTTTTTATTTAGGCATTTTTATCATATCCTCTCCGTTAATCCTTTGTGACAATATACCAACAAATTCTATTATTCACTCTTGGTTTCAAAGCAAAAATATATGAGATATGAAGGCGCAAAGCTGTATTGGTATAACGTCACTGTAACAAATAATCCTAAACTGTGTTTAAGGTTTTATATATTTTGTGTAACTTTATGATATTTGGTACAGAACTAGAACTAAAATATAACAATCGAATTTTTAGCATAAAGAACCAAAGTGTGGTTCTAAATTGACAAGATTTTAAAATCTTATTTTTTGACAATCCAAAAACTTTTTAATTTACTTTCTTTAAAACTGTTGTGCATTTTAAGTATTTCATCTTTCAGGTTTCAGGTTTCAGTTTTTAACGTAAATGAATTAATCATTTGTCTGTTTTTGGATGGATCCAATTGTTTGACCACAACATGGTAGTTTCTCCGTATAGTTTCCCCATGCTGATTTACGAAAGGCAAAATTACATGTTCTATAAGGGTGGAGGGGCGGGGGGGGGGGGATTTCTTCCACATTTTTGATCAAATCAAGGTTTCAAGGGTATCATTGTGAATTGGTCATGCCCTTTCTTTTTTTAATAGAGGTTTATTTAAAATTTCGGCATGCATTGACTAGATAAATTTTGTTAAACCTGTTGATTCATGGCTTGTGATTTAAATACTTATTTTGTTTTATTTCAGATAAGAAAACCAAAAAACCTGCAATAATGTAAAAAAACTAAAATAAAACTGAATACTAAATTTGTTTTATTCCTATATCTGTGCAACCTCATGGTGTAAACCTTTGATATTGTAATCTTTTGACTTTCTGTTTTACAAGAATTTTTATTTTGAAAATGTCTACACTATCTGAAGTAATAATATAAAGATTAAATACAGAATTTGTGATATCAGTTGTTTTGAACCTTTTATAAATATTACTAGGCTTTATATTTCTTTTAATGTGACATTTTTTAAAGGGAGTGACCGGCAATGTATGGGGGTTGAACTGAGAAATGCAGCATAGTGGTGAAATTTTTTAGAATTAATTTCAGACATATAAAACGAATTAATGCTGTTTAATTTCTGAGTTTGAGTGCAAAATCTACGTTCAAAATAATCCATTTTGAGAATCGATTTTTTTAAAGATTACTAAATAACGACAAACATGAAAATATTGTAAAAATTCTACAGTAAACTAATTAGATGGTAAGAAATAAATTTCTTAATTGAAATTTTCTCAATAAATCAATGTTAGAATCAGTTATTTCTTTTTCATCATTATAATGAATTTATTATTCTTCATGAGTTTGCTCACAGATTTCTTCAAATTCTTTGAATGTCGTCTTTTCAATAAAAATTCCAGGAAATCTACAGAAAATGTTTGTGAACAATGTGACATTGGAAAAACCAATAACTGAATAAGATTACTTATTTTAGATGATAATGGTTAATTTTTATTTTCTCAACCTGTTTCTAAGTAACTAATTAGTTCACTGAAGAATTTTCAATAAATTTTTCGTCGTCGTTATTTATTAATTTTTAAAAAATTCTCTAAACTTAACCAACCAAATAGATGATTTTGAACGTCGACTTTGCGCTCAAACTCAGTAACTATAAATACTTCAAATATTCTCAGTTCACCACCATAAATTGCCTATCACTCCCTTTAATCCTTTTATATCATAGACATTATATAACCCCTGGCTCATGTGAAAAAAAGTTCGGCCCAAACTTTTCCATCTGTTTTCAAGATGTTTGGTATCAAATATTGTCTGTGTGTCTAAAGCAAAAAATGTGTTATTTAAACATGTATTTATTCTTGTAACATTAAGTATATTCTGTTAAGTTAATTTGATAAAACATGTGGTTTTAACATAAGTCAATCATATATATTATTCACAATGCTCACTTTATCAAACATATTTGTCAAATTTTAAGTTTAATCTTTGCTTTTTTTATGCTGAACTAAAACATTTTTAACAAATATTTTACAAAAACATAAGAATCTTTTGAAAATCTTTAAACAATTATAATTTTCAAATTTTTATTCACTCAAAGAATTGTTCACTTAAAAACACAAATATCCTAATTTTTGAAAATAGGATTACATTTGAAGGGACTAGAAACTTAATGTTGAGTGATATGTCTGATTCACTAGGGTACCATTAAAAGCTTCGTCCAATAAAGTATGAATTAGAATAAATATCACTATTTTTAAATCTGATTATTTTAACTAGTAATTTTTCTACAAAAGTGTCTTGCACATTTCTTGCTTCAGAAACGATTGAGAAATTAACAGAATTGAACAGTTTTCAAGCTAGAAAGACGACGTTATCTTTCACATTATTGGCCAGGTAAAGGTTGTATGGCGTTGTGAATCGGCCATTTTTTAAAGAGTAAACTTTTTCAAGATTACAAAAACAGTCTCTTTAAAGGGAGTGACCGGCAATGTATGGTGGTTGAACTGAATATGTAGTATTGTGGAACATTTTTTAAGGATTCATTTGAGACAAATTAAACGTCTCTACAACATATTTTTACTGAGTTTGAATACTTATTTTCGATGATAAGAGTTAATTTTTAATTTCTCAACCTGTTGCTATTCCTAAACAACTAGTTTGTTTACTGTAGAATTTTTGTCACATTTTTTGTCGTTGTTATCTAATAATTAAAAATAAACTATTCTAAAAATGTACCTACCCAAATTCATGATTTTGTACGTCCACTCAAACTCAGTAAATATACGTCGTAGAATCGTTTAATATGACTCAAATGAATCCTTAAAAAATTGTCCACAATACTACATATTCAGTTCAACCACCATACATTGCCGGTCACTCCCTTTAAGCACAAACGCTCTAAAATCCCTGAAATGAGTAAAAGTCAGGATGAAGGTAATAATTTGCATGGAAAATAAACTGCATGTGATACGTATATTGAAATTGTTTAGAGCAAAGTATCAAGATTTAGAGACAAATCTTTTCGTTTTTCCTGTTCCTAATTGACTCACTTTAAAATCCACTTTATAGTCCCGGCTGACCACTTTATAGTCCCGGCTGATTTCTAAGCAGTAATGTTCCAAACTATCTAAGACAAACAAAATGAACTTTTTTTTCAAATCAGAATTCTGATATTTACATTAAATTATTTAAATAATCAAACTTATCAAAGTTAACTATTTAAAATAATTACTACGATCAATAATGGCATTAAAACTGTTGATAAAGCAGAACCAGATGATTTGACTAAAGACTCAGCATTCCACTTCTTAATTAAGTTATCACTGCCTTTTGGTTGATCACTCACGACTGGTACTGTATTTGAGGTTTGAACCTCTTTTATGTTATTTTGTTGAAATATTTCCTCTTCTACTTCCACTATACCACTGTCAGGTTCAGCAGCTTCTTCTGAAGTCGAATCTTCTGTGTCATTTTCAGCATTTAAGATCTCATCGTGATAAACATAATTATTATCATTTTCTTCAGTAAACTGATTGTTATCATCATCTTCGTCAACATATTCATCCTCTTTGGACGCAGAAAGTTCAGAGCTGAACTCTGATTTTTGAAAATTTAAACTTTCATCTTCGGGGAGAATCAGATATTTTTCTGTGTCGGTAGTGCTAACATCATCATTCATAGCTTGTGCTACAAGACTGTTAATCTCAATCTCAACTTGTTTCATTTCTATATCGGATGCTTTAGGTTCAACTTTCTCTCCGGATAAACGTTGTGATAAATAATCAATTTCCTCAGAGTCAGACTTATCAGAAACTATTTCACCAAATGTATCACTGCTTGTTATTTCTTCTTCGCCATTCTCCATTTCATTTTCAACTGGATGATTATCACTAACAAATGATGCTTCTATTTCACCTTCCAGCTCATAAATATATTCATGATCATCATTTTTTAAATCTTCCTTCTTTGAATCAGTTTTATCATAATAATCAGTTTTATCATTGTAATCAGTTTTACCATTAGAATCAGTTTCATCATAATAATCAGTTTCATCATAATTATCAGTTTTATCATTGGAATCAGTTATTCTATCTTCTGTAACATCTATTACACTGCCTTTAGCTTGGATCACATTATCCTCAAAGTAATCTTCTTTCGATTCCACTGAAATATGAAAACTTGAAGTTATTCATAAAAAAGTATATATGATATAATTTCTAATTAATACTTACATAATGTGATATTTATTATAGTTGACACTTTTTTCTCTACATTCAAATAAGAGTTCATTGACACACAATCGATAACTGATTCCATAAGTTCGGGGACAACTTCGAAACTCCAGGAAATATCATCAGAAGAATTTTGAAGGATAATTTCATCATTAAATATTAGTTTTAAAGTTGGATGAGGATACCCTTGGTCTTCTTGGTTTCCCATGTAACCACATTTAACAGTTACTTCATCTCCCAGATTAAACACGTTGACCGGTTCAGCTCCAACATATATAAGAAGGGTTGGATCCTCAGGGGGATCTAAAAAAGCTTTTTATTTGAATATACTAAAAACATATTTAAGTAATAGCATCTTATTCTATGCAATTAATTCATGTACTTCTCATGATTCATTAAATTCCCATTCTGGTAAAGGATGGGCTAACAAAAATAAATGCCATTCTACAGTGATAACCAGAATAAAGTGGCATGCAAGTCATCTTTGTTCAATATAAATTTTGAAATTTGTAATATTTGCGACTGAATATGTTACAAATAGTGCTACAAATAGTGTTACAAATGGTGTTACAAATAGTGTTAAAAATTACAAAATCTTGAGTGTAGTTTCTTAATCAATTGTTGCAACCGAAGACGACTTCATTCTAGTTATTTCTATAGCAAAAAGTGTACTTACATCCTACTTCTGTAGAGCTTGTAGCAGCTGTCTCCATAACTTCATTAATTGCTGAACATTCAATATTTGATCCTTGATGATCTCGTTCAGATTGAAATATCAAAACAATATCTTCACTGGAATTTTCCACCAAACTCAAACCATCTATTGACAAGGATAAGCATGCTTCTGGATTTCCTCTATCTTTATCATCAATGTATCCACAATTAATTTCTATAGTATTGCCTGCTGTTACAGTGTTTACTTTGATGCCGTCTACTGCTAACCTAAGGGTTGGTTGGATGGCTGGATCTGAAAATAACCAATGTTGATTATTTTTGGAAAACTACTTGTTTAAACATGACTTACATAAAATTGCAAGATGTGTTTTAGACACATCCTCAGACTCCAGTGCAGAGTTCCAGACTGAACATTCTATTTCACAATCAGAATTCCTTTCTTCGACAGTCATTGTGTGAATTATATTTCTGTTTTGACTCAAGCCTACTTCTTGTTTATCCACTAGCAACCGAAGAATTGGGTCTGGATTGCCTCCGAATACTTTGCATTCTATTGTAAACTGTTGACCCACTTTAACCTGGGTCCGAATTTAATAATTTTTAATTGCCTACCACTGGTTCAAATTTAAATCATAGATTTAATTTGTTATTTTATCTTTAACTTTAAATCAGATGTTCAAATTTAAACCGGGATTAGGTAGTTCAGTGATCTAGCTCAAATTCATTAAATTCGGTTCCTTATCTACAGGGCCACCATCTACCAAGACTAGGAGTTCAGGGGAAGACGGAGGCTCTGAAAACATACAACGGTTTTTATTACTTAAAACTTAATTTTGATAATTACCCCATATGCTTTCCTAGAATAGAAATGTGCAAGTCACTTTTGTAGAGAAATCACATTGAATATAATCAGTTTTAAAACTATAATCATTGATATCTTTTATCTGATTAATACACCCAGACAAAGCTTGTAAGGGTACCGTTGTGAATTGGACTCTGGCATCTGTAAATTGAGGGAAACTTGGAATTTCCAAAAAATGGGAATTCTTATTTTTGTCAAAAGATCGTAAAATTTACATTAACATCCATTGCATTTGATCGCTGTAATCTAACTCACCATAAATCTGAATCGTGGTAGAATTTTCCAATAAATCTCCATGATCATCTGATCTGCAGCTGATATTACTGGATCTAGATTGAAGAGGAGAGGATGGGAGTCTAAGCTGAAGCTTGGAGGATGTATAATAACCTCCGTCCACCTCACTGTACGTGTTATCTATTATTACTTCAGACTCTGAGACGTCCTAGGAAACAAAGGATTTTTTAGAATTACAAAAGGATACTTATGTGATCGTCGCCGATTGTCCGTTAAAACTGTATTACCCGATTTACAACGATACCCTTTAAAGTTTTTCTGATCAAGCATGAATTAGATATCCATTTTTTATGTATTTTTTGCTAATAAGAAACAATTGGAGATGTTCACATAATTAAATACTTTTAAAGTTAAAAAAAACTACATTATCTGCTGCATTTTTGATCAGATTAAGGCTTCAAGGGTACCGTTATAAATTGGGTATTGCTATCTTTGCATTGCGAGTCACTTGAAATTATGTTAACAGTCCCTAAGATGCAACAATTATGGCCTAATTTTAGCTAAGGTTTTTTTTGCTACAGACCAAAAGCGGACTATTATTATCTGACTGCTTAACTTTGAAACCATGAACCAGAAATGTTACTCTTCAAGTCTTCAGTCTTCATCACAATTAACTGTTCCTTTCCACAAATATTAAGGGATGTTACCTGCTGATAAACCCTGTTGAGTTTAGTTTGTGGGAAGCTAGGGCCAGCTGTACAAGTCAAGGAATGTTACCTGCTGATAAACCCAGTTGAGTTTAGTTTGTGGGAAGCTTGTACAAGTCAAGGGATGTTACCTGCTGATAAACCCAGTTGAGTTTTGTTTGTAGGAAGCTAGGGCAAGCTGTACATGTCAAGGAATGTTACCTGTTGATAAACCCAGTTGAGTTTAGTTTGTGGGAAACTGGGACCAGCTGTGCAAGTCAAGGAATGTTACCTGCTGATAAACCCAGTTGAGTTTAGTTTGTGGGAAGCTAAGACCACCTGTACATGTCAAGGAATGTTACCTGCTGATAAACCCATTTAAGTTTAGTTTGTAGGAAGCTAGGACCAGCTGTACAAGTCAAGTGATGTTACCTGCTGATAAACCCAGTTAAGTTTAGTTTGTGGGAAGCTAGAACCAGCTGTACAAGTCAAGGAATGTCACCTGCTGATAAACCCAGTTGAGTTTAGTTTGTGGGAAGCTAGGACCAGCTGTACATGTCAAGGGATGTTACCTGCTGATAAACCCAGTTAAGTTTAGTTTGTAGGAAGCTAGGACCTGCTGTACAAGTCCAGAAATGTTACCTGCTGATAAACCCAGTTGAGTTTAGTTTTTGGGAAGCTAGGACCAGCTGTACATGTCAAGGAATGTTACCTGCTGATAAACCCAGTTCAGTTTAGTTTGTGGGAAGCTAGGACCAGCTGTACAAGTCAAGGAATGTTACCTGCTGATAAACCCAGTTGAGTTTAGTTTGTAGGAAGCTAGGACCAGCTGTACATGTCAAGGAATGTTACCTACTGATAAACCCAGTTAAGTTTAGTTTGTAGGAAGCTAGGACCAGCTGTACAAGTCAAGGGATGCTACCTGCCGATAAACCCAGTTGAGTTTAGTTTGTGGGAAGCTGGGACCAGCTATACATGTCAAGGAATGTTACCTGCTGATAAACCCAGTTGAGTTTAGTTTGTGGGAAGCTGGGACCAGCTGTACAAGTCAAGGTCTGAAGAGAACCTTGTAAACCAAAGTCAGGAGCAGAGATCAGTAAACTACTAGCACTGTCTACATAACAAGATCTACAGTTAAACCCAGAACTTTGGAGTCATCGAAAGAATTTATAAAATGTTGTGTTGACAATTGTTTAATGGGTTTTATGCTAATATACCTAAATCTCATTAAATGTAAAAAATAAATAGCCATGAAATATGTAGGAACAGTTTACAAGAGCTCCATATGATTAAAGTCAGTATTCTTAGCTGGTTTGTAAAACAACATTTTATAAATTCTTCCGATGTCTCCAAAGTTCTAGGTTTAACTGTAGCTAATTCTTTAATATGTTTATTCATGGCAAGAGAAATAATACTCTGATTTTTATACTTCATGAACAGGGGCATTTATGGGAAGAGCAGTGTCCCCCTTAGACTTAGCTTTTATTGTATCAAATGTCTATTTTTTTCTCCTTTTTTCTAGAATTATTTTACGGAGAGATAAAGCAGCACAAGCACAACAATTAAACATAAATGCTTTAACATGTCTTATCTGTGTCTACTATCCGAACCAAAATTACAACTCCCATCTCCCCACCCCTAGGAGGTCATTAATTAATGCCATGCTTATTTGATAAAATTGTAGGTCAAAGTAATGATTTTTTTAAAAAAGAACAATAAATTATGTTTTATAAATGTTTTTAATGAGCTACAGTGTTTTCAAATCGTATGTCAATAAATAAATCTGTGGGTTATATTTTTAAACTTTTTCACATTTGCAATTGTAGTTTTAAATACAATAATTTTAAACAGATGTCCTGACACTGAACATGTTTAATGAGCTGCCTGGCATTGAAATATGAACTTTAAAAAGGATTCGCATTGTCAAACAATGCAGAAATTTTTCCTTTAACAGACCTTTTTTACCAATAATTTTTTGTTTATTCAAATGATTTAAAGGGAGTGTTCGCGAAAAATGAAAGTGGGTATAGGCTCACGGCGAAAAATAAGCGCTTTTGATTGCGACTATTCTTACTTCTGTCTGTTGCGTCTAAAAGGAGAAATTACTAAAAACGACTCATGCCGAAGAACGTAGCGTCCATACAAATTCGGAAAGTTTCAACATTATTTATCAATTTTACTACACTGAATATCTTGTTAAAAAATTAGCGTAAAGATAAAGAAAAATCTCAGAGAAATGAAATTTTAAAACTTTTGAATCTATAATACGTAGAGATTAGAATTATTTAAATTTTTTAAACTTTGGTTTATGTTTTCAAACCTAAAATAGCTAGGGGTCTGTAAAGTGTAAAGGGTAGGCGTATCATTAAAGTAGGGGGGTGCATGTGCAATGGTGCGTGTTCAATCCCTCTTTATTCAAGATATCCCAGGTAAACAGTTCCAAGTCTCACGTTAGGGTAAACAGTTCCAAGTCTTATTAGGGTAAACAGTTCCAAGTCTCATTAGGGTAAACAGTTCAAAGTTTTATTAGGGTAAATAGTTCCAAGTCTCATTAGAGTAAACAGTTCCAAGTCTTATTAGGGTAAATAGTTCCAAGTCTCATTAGAGTAAATAGTTCCAAGTCTCATTAGGGTAAACAGTTCCAAGTCTTATTAGGGTAAACAGTTCCAAGTCTCATTAGGGTTAACAGTTCCAAGTCTCATTAGGGTAAACAGTTACAAGTCTCATTAGGGTTAACAGTTCCGAGTCTCATTAGGGTTAACAGTTCCAAGTCTCATTAGGGTTAAAAGTTCCAAGTCTCATTAGGGTAAACAGTTCCAAGTCTCATTAAGGTAAACAGTTCCAAGTCTCATTAGAGTAAACGGTTACAAGTCTCATTAGGGTAAATAGTCCCAAGTCTCATTATAGATAACAGTTCCAAGCTTTATATGACTTACATTTAACTTTGATAACCATAAACGAGACTGCCGGGGCCGCCATTATTGAGTTTCGTGCTTCACATCGTACCCTCATCCCATGCTGATCAGCTGATGCCGTGAAACTGAAGGTATTGCGGAATTCCCGGGGAAATCCAACCTAGAACATTATAAATAAAAGTTGAAAAAGAAGACGACATTTAGGCAATTTTGATTTCTAGTTTATGTTTATTACAAAGCAAGTAATTTTACTAGTAGCTCAACCAAAAAGAACTTATCAGGGTAAATTGTCTATGATACTGGTTTCATGCTCATTAAATCATAACTTGACCCTTAAACTCGTCTTCCTTTTCCAGAATTGTATTTTTTTTTGGAAAAATTAGCATGAGTTATAGGAAGTTGGGACGGGCGTTGATGATGATTCCCTCAAGAAAGAAATTGTATTTAAATTTATATAGGTTTCCTTTACCAAACATGGGATTGTAAAACGAGAAAAAAAAATTATATAAAGTTTTACATTGTAAATTTTAAGCAAGCAATTTTGAAAAAGATTCTAGTGATTTCATCGAGATTTGGTAACCATACTAGATTTTTAGGGTCTTACAGGGATATTGAACAGAAAGAAATATAGATATCAAATCTCCTGTAAAATAAATCCTGTTTTAAAAATTTCCTATTAATTAAATGTCTTCTATAAAAGTATTTATTAATTAACAACCTGTTTAGTAAATGTATTTCTGTTAATTTCTATCAAATGTCCCAAGATCCCATGACCCCGAACACTGTTTTTTATAATTTGTTTAGATTTTTTAAATATTTGCTAATGATGTAAGACCCTTTTTTGCAAACTGACAAAACATGAAAAATGTTTTGCAAAGCATGTGTACTGTTCTCTTGACAGAATAAGGAAATATAGTGTGGAGAGAAAGCTTTAAAAAAACAAACATGTCCTTAACTTACTAAGGTACGTTTACATAAGAAGCTGGAGGAAACTGATGGGTTAATATTTTTCATTACAGGAATTGTTTAGTTTTTCGAGAAATAAATAAAGTAACCCAAAAATGGATTTAACTTTGAGGTGAAGTAAAGTTTGAGTAACAATTTAAATCTGTTGAACCAAAACTTTCGTTTTTTCAAACATTGTATATATCATTATCCAACGTGCTATTACACTATATACAGGGTGTCCCAATAAACATGGGAATATATCGTATTCGATCCATGCTTACCAGCTTTCTTTTGATTTACCTGCTTTCTTCTAATTTTTCTAATTTCTTCTAATTTACCTGCTTTCTTCTAATTTACCTAATTTCTTCTAATTTACCTGCTTTCTTCTAATTTACCAGCTTTCTTTTAATTTATCTGTTTTCTTCTAAATGAACTGTTTTCTTCTAAAATTTACCTGTGTTCTTCTAATTTACCTGCTTTCTTCTAATTTATCTGCTTTCTTCTAATTTATCTGCTTTCTTCTAATTTACCTGCTTTCTTCTAATTTACCTGCTTTCTTCTAATTTACGTGATTTATTCTAATTCACCTGCTTTCTTCTAATTTACCTGCTTTCTTCTAATTTACCTACTTTCTTCTAATTTATCTGCTTTCTTCTAATTTACCTGCTTTCTTCTAATTTACCTGCTTTCTTCTAATTTACCTGCTTTCTTCTAATTTAACTGCTTTCTTCTAATTTACCTACTTTCATCTAATTTATCTGCTTTCTTTAAATTTACCTGCTTTCTTCTAATTTACCTGCTTTCTTCTGAATTACCTGCTTTCTTCTAATGAACTTGCTTTCTTATAATTTACCTGCTTTCTTCTAATTTATCTGCTTTCTTCTAATTTACCTGCTTTCTTCTAATTTACCTGCTTTCTTCTAATTTACCTGCTTTCTTCTAATTTACCTGATTTCTTCTAATTCACCTGCTTTCTTCTAATTTACCTGCTGTTCATCAAAGTATATTAATATAAGAGGATCAGGATTCCCATCCACTGCTTTACACTGAACACTCACAGTATCGCCTTTCTTAACTAGGACGGTCTTGAGGTCGCCCTCCCCCACCTCCCCCACTTTGTCCACCTCCTCCTCCTCTGTGTTGATTGTGATGGTAAGATTTGGCGACGAAGCAGGCACTAAATAAATGCAGGGTTACCCTCAAAAGATGAGACTTCAGAGACGACTGGCCAGAATTTATTCAACCAAACACTCAGCTTATTGGTTCCCTTCAACTGGAAACTTTTTTTTCGGCGTCAAACCATTTAGCAGAACACTTTATAAAGGGGAGAATACAAAATTCTAATTTTTATGTTTTATGGATTTTTGGTCTTTTTTTTGTGGGAAATACGGTACGTATAATGAACAGAAATCATACAAAGATGGTTTTACAAAAACAAATCTCAATAAACAAATGGTTAACAATTTCAATAGTAGAGAATTAGAACAGTATCCATTCAACTTAAAAATTACAAATAACTTTTAAAAACTTTTTTTTTACAATTTGAATGCTCTGTAACCCCTTTATTAATCACCGAAGACAGAGATCTCTGTGTGTATATATCTTGAAAAGTGTTTAAATTGTCATAACAGCACTAGCATACATTAATTGCAGTGGGAATTCAACACAGCTTAGGTCAATAGTGGGTTTCATTAAAAATGTAAAAGTTAATTTTGATTTTACACGACTTCTTGAAAGTAAATATTAATATTTTTTAAATCTTAAACAATTTCCACATTTGCAAACGTTTCTGTAAATTAATAAGGATTTAAGTTCGACATTGTTGATAAGTTTAAAGGGTGAATTGGACACGACATTCTAAAAATGTTGGGGCACTCGAAATTACGCCCACAACTTCTTCAAATCTTTATTAGGTAATAACAACAAGACTAAAAATCTTTTAAAACTAGAAGCAATTTAAGTCTTCTAAAAGTAAGTCTTTTAAACAGATTTTGCAAAAATATCTTTGAGGCATGAAATAGTAATCCCTTGATATTTGACCCCAGACATTTTTGCAAACATTTGTATGCATAGTGCAATTCCGTTGACACTGATGAATTCGCAGAAAAATAAAATAAAATGCTCTGCAGAAAATCAGAACAATTTGGTTTTGATATTGAACTATAGCGAATGTCTTTCGATTTAAAGAAAATTTTGTTCCAACGTGAATCCACAAAAAATTAAATTTATAATTCGTAAACTTTCGAATAAAGAGTTTGTTCCTTCGAAATGTTTTCGGTAATTCGATATTACTAATATATAGTGTATAGGGGCTATGAAAAATATATATAGTGTATAGGGGCTATGAAAAATATATATAGTGTATAGGGGGCTATGAAAAATATATAGTGTATAGGGGCTATGAAAAATATATATAGTGTATAGGGGCTATGAAAAATATATATAGTGTATAGGGGGCTATGAAAAATATATATAGTGTATAGGGGCTATGAAAAATATATATAGTGTATAGGGGCTATGAAAAAGTTTGGCATTTAAATACTTTTAGTTTCCATTTTATTATTTTCTGTGTTTTCTTAGCGCAGGGAGTGCTGACAAGTTTATTATAAAAGCCAGTATGAATTACCCAGATACAGGGTGTGTCATTAATAAGAGAAATCTTGTTTGGTTTCATGGATAGTACAGTGAAAACCAGAAAACTGTGGAGGAAAAAGACGACATTACAGCAATACTTTTTGATTTTGTTTCAATGCAAATAATTTTAATATTGACTTTTTAGATCACTTACTACTGTTTTGCTAAATTGCTCTGTCTAATGTTTTGGACTATTTAAAGTCATAACTTGAGTCATAAAGTCGTCTTTCTGTTCTGGGTTTTCTAGTTCTTACTGTACATTTAATGAACAAAACAAAGTATTATGTTTTTAAGAAAACATATTATCAAATTTCTCTCCATAAAAATTCACGAGTTGTTTTCTTCAAAAAGTTATTTTTAAAGGAAACCTTATCAAAGTAAAGGATACATTTATAAATTTTTGTACTCAGTAAATGTAATTTAAAATTATGTGACTGACAGCCATAGAGAATAGTATATATATATATTAGAGGAGAATTAAGAGAATCTCTCGGTATGAATATTTTCAGTCCCTTTCAGCCTGAAAGGGAGTTCAAAGTGTACAAATCATGTAAATGTTCTCAAATTATATGCAGTAGAGTACATTAATACAATATGTTCCCTTGACTATCCATTTCAATTTCGAATTTTTTAAAGCTGTTAAATGAACTTTTCAATGAATTAGGTGAATAAAAAACATTATTTGATTTATAGTTATAACGAAAAATCATCGTTTGTAAAATGAAATGCATAGAAATGATCATTGGTCAATTATGAACCAGCCTATTTCATAATTTGGTTTTCTTTTAGTATTAAGTTTAGATTTTCTATAAAATGATATTCCAGGGCCCAAAAGGTTATATAGCATAAATATGTGAAGTACACCTGCAGTATGGAAACAGCACAACAAAATGGCCGTTTTACACTTTTTTCTAGTAAATTCCACTCTAATATATATTCTATTCTCTTTGCTGACAGCCCTTTGTTTTAAAAATTCCCAAAAAGTATAGGTGTTAGCTAAGTGCTAGTTTATATAAATAAAATCATTATTTCCCTGTAAACTCCTGCCGGACCCAAATGTCAGAGAACAGAGGGAAAAGCTTTAATAATATAAACACTGTTTTGTATTCTTACACCCAGGGATAAAATAAGCTTTTAGAGGATGTAAAAACATTGTTTTCTTAATAAATTGTATAAAAAAGCGAACAACGTTTTTAACATTCTGTTATACTTCAAAGGAGACCTAATTTGGCCCGTTGGAGTTCGACATAGGAGATCTACTTTATCCCGTTTTAGTGCATAGGAGACCTACTTTGGCACGTTACAGTTTATAGTAGACCTACTTTGGCACGTTACAGTTTATAGTAGACCTACTTTGGCACGTTACAGTTTAAAGGAGACATAATTTGGCACGTTAGACTTCATAGGAGACATGTATTGCCACTTTAGAGTTCATAAGAGACTTACTTTGGCACGCTGGAGCTCATAAGAGACTTACTTTGGAACGTTACAGTTTAAAGGAGATATACTTTGACACTATAAAGTATATAGGAGACCTACTTGAGCATGTTAAATTTCAAAGGAGACATACGTTGGCACGGTACAGTTCCTAGAAAACCTACTTTGGCACGTTAAGGCTCATAGGAGAACTACTTGATCACGTTACAGTATATAGGAGACCTACTTAGGCACGTTGGAGTAGATTCGTTCCAGAGTGTTCCATTGCAAAATATAAGATCAGGACCGAGCAGTTCTGCTTCCTTCTCACAACGAAACCTTTAAAAAATGTTATCTTGATAAAATACAGTTAACTCATATATAAAAGAACACAAAGAAAAAATTTAAATAATGTAGACTTGAATTTGAATTTAAAGCTGTCTTGTATATCCCGGACTGTTTTCCGCTCGGAGCTTTACAGGGGTAAGTGTAATTTACTAAAGCATAACCAAAATTTCTGGAATTTATTTGGAATAAAATTTTTAAAATTTTTATAACAGCTTCATTTATATCTGGGCACTAATTTACGTATTAAATCCTTCATATTATATAATGCGCAGCAGCAACCCCAGTAAAATTCATCAAGACGACAATTTAAAATATCTTCCAATGTCTTCTTATTTTTGAGTTTAATTGTTGTTCATCATTTGTTGACTTATAACTTTATGATCACAAAAAAAATTTGGATTAACCCATTTTGGGCGATATTATGTAACTCTCATTCATTCTTCATGAGCTCATAGTTTTTAATAATACTGATGTAAATCGTACAGACCAATAATAATTGGAACATAAATTCAGATTTCGTGTACAGTCGCTTTAAGTCGTCTGTAAATTCACATATATATTGGGACCCCCTGTATCTGACCTGTAGACAGCTCCATCTAATAATCTTCTTGAGTAACCATATCTTAAAACAGAAACTTGATCTTCATCACATCCAGACTCTAGAACAGAAGTTTATTATAGGAGTTAATTAACCATATCTTATCCATATCTCTGCTGGAGGAGGGGGAGAGGGTCACTTGAAATAACGTGGTTAGTCCCTTTACAATAACGTACTTGCACAAACAGGGGCCGTTGAGAAATTCCAGGTAGTTCCGTCGCAATACACTTTAGCCTTGCCGTACATCCTGTACCCTTTCATACACGTGTACTTGTACACTGAACCCCTAAACAAACATACAGGTGCACTTGTACATTGAATCCCTGAACAAACATACAGGTGCAATTGTACGCTGAACACCTGAACAAACATACGGGTGTACTTGTACATTGAACACCTGAACAAACATACAGGTGTACTTGTACACTGAACCCTGAACAAACATACAGGTGTACTTGTACACTGAACACCTAAACTAACATACAGGTGTACTTGTACACTGAACCCCTGAGCAAACATACTGGTGTACTTGTATACTGAACCCCTGAACAAACATACTTGTGTACTTGTACACTAAACCCTGAACAAACATACAGGTGTACTTGAACACTGAACCCCCAAGCAAAAATGTAAATGAACTTGTATACTGAACCCTGAACAAACATACAGGTGTACTTGTACACTGAACCCCTGAACAAAAATACAGGTGTACTTGTACACTGAACCCATGAACAAAAATACAGGTGTACTTAACCCCTGAACAAAAACACAGGTGTACTTGTACACTGAACCCCTGAACAAACATACAGGTGTACTTGTACACTGAACCTCTGAACAAAAATACAGGTGTACTTGTACACTGAACCCCTGAACAAACATACAGGTGTACTTGTATACTGAACCCTGAACAAACATACAGGTGTACATGTACACTGAACCCCTGAACAATCATACAGGTGTACTTGTACACTGAACCCCTGAACAAAAATACAGGTGTACTTGTACACTGAACCCATGAACAAAAATACAGGTGTACTTGTACACTGAACCCCTGAACAAAAACACAGGTGTACTTGTACACTGAACCCCTGAACAAACATACAGGTGAACTTGTACACTGAACCGCTGAACAAAAATACAGGTGTACTTGTACACTGAACCCCTAAACAATCATACAGGTGTACTTGTACACTGAACCTCTGAACAAGCATACAAGTGTACTTGTACACTGAATCCTTGAACAATCATACAGGTGTACTTGTACACTGAACCTCTGAACAAGCATACAAGTGTACTTGTACACTGAACCTCTGAACAAGCATACAAGTGTACTTGTACACTGAATCCTTGAACAAACATACAGGTGTACTTGTACACTGAATCCCTGAACAAACATACAGGTGAACTTGTACACTGAACCCCTGAACAAAAATACAGATGAACTTGTACACTGAACCCCTAAGCAAAAATACAGGTGTACTTGTACACTGAACCCCTGAACAAAAATACAGATGAACTTGTACACTGAACCACTGAACAAAAATACAGATGTACTTGTACACTGAACCACTGAACAAAAAAACGGTGCACTTGTACATTGAACCACTGAACAATCATACAGGTGTACTTGTACTCAGAACCCTTGAACAAAATTAAAGATTCTATTATAAAAAGCTGGTTTTGCAAAAATATTCCTTGAATCCCGATAAGCTGTTAAAGCAGGCCCATGTTGAAAAACAATCTCTTTACATGTCATTTCATCTATCAGAGAGTATAAAACAAATGGGCAAATGCTTAACAGTTTCAGTATTTTGCAGGTTAGGGTAACGTTTTCTAACAGAATTGCAAGTTTTATAAATTAACGGACAATTTCGTTTTCAATAAAACAAATTATATTCGTAAACAAACTAAAAGAACTGTTTAGAAACAACGCTTATTTAGAAAAACATTCATTTTTTACTCTGACATTGGATGCAACGAAAACGAAAACCGAAATTAAGTCAGTGTTTGTGCAGTACATTGAGACGCCATGGAGTCCGAAATTTAAAAGAGTATCGTTGAAAGCAAACTCCCAGTTTCATTTCTGGGGTCTTAACATTTGTGTAGATTTAGATTTAAGAGATTCGGAATAAATGGAGAATTAGAAGAAAACAAAATAAATAATATTTCATAACAAAAATTTGATATTAAAAAATCTGCCTAACCCAATTAGCGAAAGCCGGGTTCCAAAACTAGAATTCATAACTATACCCTGTCTAAAGTTTTAGGCTCTGACAACTGTTGAAGTGTATCTGAACATAAAGCATCAAGAAAATAGTCTTACTGGTAACTCATAAAATCTTAAAGTCGTCTTCCTATTTCAGACTTTTCCAGTTCTCACTGTAGTTTAAAATAAACACACACTTGATAAACAGGTTCATTTATAAATGTTTAAGAACAGATTTTAAAAAACTCCAAATATTTCCATCTCTAGATCTGATTTTAGATTACCTGAACCCCCTCTGCTCCATCAGCCTGGCAAACTTGACCTTCGGTAAACTCAAAGGATCGCAAGCACCAACAGCTAAAGAAATATCCCGTTTTTAAATATTTTTGATTTTAAATATTACGGTTATGTATAATGTAGAGAGGTTTTCAAGAAGTCAGCATATTAAGGATATTGATCTTTGATAGCTCAGAGCTATTTTCCGTGGCAGAAACCCGAAATAAATCAAATAGAGTTAAATAATTATAATAATTTTTTATAGAGAAGAAAACGGAAATTTCATTCATTTTTGATTAGAAAAACGTTTAGGGAGTACAGTTGTGAATCAGGTATGGCATTCAATTAATTGAAGGTCAGTAGAAACTACGTCTTGAGACCTCCTGTTTTAAATCTCCTTGCTACATTTATTCGTGATATTTAAGTTTTGTCCCATAAAACATAAAATGTGTCAATTTCTCAAACTACGACACATAAAATTGATTTATTAGGTTATGCTTTTAAAGTATATCATGATATTAATACAAATGTAATAAATTAATTCAGAAAAACAAGTCTTGATGAAACATCGACCATGGAAACTAAAAATTAAATACTATTGATTGGAGCGAAATTTTTAATTCACTTTTAACCCCCCTCCCTTTTTTTCTTACTTAAAATTTCTACCATTTTTCTTATTCAGAATTTTTATGTATAATACTTGCTTGAGTGCCACTGCCCGGCCTTGCCCTTTGAATTTTAAAAACACCTTAGAAAAGAAAAAATTTGATTCAAAAAACATTTTTGGTTTTTTTGAAATTTAGCCTTTGTTACCCGAAGGTTTCCTCAAAAAAATTAAACCAATTCGGTACAGCCGTTTGGCCAGCTATTTGCTCAAACATGAATAAAGTGCGAAGAGCTTTATAATTGATTTGCTTTATCAGTTTTAAGTTTTGTAATAATACTAAGGATCATCCAATGGCATGACAAGCAAATACATATATTATACATATATTTAGTGCTGTATACTAGTAGCATGGATATGAATATATGTTTATTTCTAAAAATGGTTAAAAAGTCGTGATAAACGACAAATTCTGAATTTTTATTTAATCTAAACTGCTATAGGCAATTCAAAATCAAATAACATAAATTCAATATTACAACATAGATGCATTTTATACATCTAACTGTAGATTGACATTTTATACATCTAGGTGTAGATTGACATTTTATACATCTAGCTGTATATTGACATTTTTTACATCTAGCTGTATATTGACATTTTTTACATCTAGCTGTATATTGACATTTTATACATCTAGGTGTAGATTGACATTTTATACATCTAGCTGTAGATTGAAATTTTATACATCTAGCTGTAGATTGACATTTTATACATCTAGCTGTAGATTGACATTTTATACATCTAGCTGTAGATTGACATTTTATACATCTAGCTGTAGATTGAAATTTTATACATCTAGCTGTAGATTGACATTTTATACATCTAGCTGTAGATTGACATTTTATACATCTAGCTGCAGATTGACATTTTATAAATCTAACTGGAGATTAAAATAAAAATGAAGTTTGTCCCCTCCGTCATTTCAAACTGAAAAGTACATGTTTAATCGACTGTTTTAGCTTTTGCAAAACTCTAGCTTTACATCAAAGGTAGAGAATTTCACCTAATTTGTCAATTAACTGAATGAAATTAAACAGGACGCGGCATTCTTTGAATTTTTGCGCAGATCTAGATATAGTCACATTTTTATCATTATAGTTTATTTCAATCATTATTTTTTTTATCTTTTTTAAATATTTTAATTTCAATACATCTTTATACACATATAAACTTGCGTGTCTGGGTGTTAGGATGTTTGTATCCAAAAAATTGTAAAAACGGCAAAGCCAATTCGGCCCAAATTTTTTTGTGGAACCTAAAATTAGAATGACCCCTGGAGAGGTTCATAATAGCTTCAAAAGATGTTTATTTTGACAACTGTAAAGAAGAAATCCATATATCACTTTATATGGAGAAACCACGACTGAAATTAATCAATTTTCTAAAGTGAAGATAATGAATGTCTCATGCATTCTTGATTATAAAAAGGTTTTACGGTTAAGGATAACTAGGGTGTCAAAATTCACACAATATTTTTTAAAAAGAAACTTTTTTGTTCGTTAAACAGCAAGTCAAGATCAAGAACAATTATGCAGACGTGTTACTTTTTACATTTATTGGAAACATATTGTATTTAATGCTATGAAGAATTCAACTTGCTTTATTGCATAATCCTTTTCTGTAGCTGAAATAAAAAATTAAAAACATATTTTCACTATGTGGTAATATATTTTTCTTTCGTTCTATTTGTGCAGTGTCTACGGTTACTGTATAATTAACTGCATGAAATGTTAAATTTAGTAAAACATAGCCTGATATGATTAGTTATGTGCATTATTAATTTTTCGCGCATTTTAAGAAAATCTGATCGTTTTCTGAAAACATTAACTTGAGATTTTAACGTAATATATTAGATATGATTCGAATTCTTTTCAATCAAATCGTATAATTGAGTATTTTTTTACATTATGAAAACATCTAATTTAAAAATGCAAGCATGCCCATCTCTAATTGTATGCTGAATTATGCACTTATTTAACACCCACAGATTTATAGTTTAGCTTTAGAAAGGGTATTATATAGCTATATCCTTCATTCAAAAGACTGGTTTGGTTTGCCAAAACACTGGTTTGGTTTGCCAAAACTGCACCTGGATTGAAAACTGAGATAAGCCGAACCCAAGTCTGCTGACATAATTCAAAAATTGCAACGAGTCTCACACAAATATGCAAAACAAATTTTTGAATTTCAGTTATAAAACTTTTTAAAACAAAATTTACTTTTCGGATCTTTAAAATATATGATCTTCAAATATGAGTCTGTTTAAGATTTCAACTATCATAACTAAGATTTAAAGATAAAAATCAGTGTCATCTGAAAAAATAGATGCTTTGTAGGAGAGTATGGGGGGGAACCGGGGGGATGAAATAATACCAAGGTCGTGTCCTAATGTATCAAAGCAAGACCACCCACATCATGACTAAACTATCTTTAACCGGATCAGTATATTAAAGGGAACCTTTAGCAATCATTAAATCAGATAAATTATTGAATTGAGGGAATGATCGGTATTTTTTTTAGATTAGATATTTTAGAAAAAGTATTATATTTACGAATCTATAAAAAAATAAATCTTCGTTAAAAAAAAACACTAAACGGACCGTTCCATCATAAAAAGAGCACACCTGATTCACAACAATGCACTTTACACCTTTGATTGAGCAATGGTGACGATATGTTCATTTTTTACAATTTCGTCTAAATTGTTTCCAAATTATAATTTTAATGAGAACCCACAATTAAGAATAATAAACTTTTATAGAAAAGATGATTGATATAATTTTTTGATTAGAAAAGTTTGGGTATCGTTGTGAATATGACAAGCCACTCAATAAATATCAAACTTTGCTTTTGGCAATTTTTTTGTGAAAATATTCTTCTAAACATAAATCCTTCTAAAACACGGAACATAAAACTTTCAGGAATTTTTGTGGATTTTTTGGAATTTATTTGCGGATTTAGTTGTTTAGTTTCGTAGCTCTGCTCGGTTAACTAGATAAAGTGGTGTGAAAGTTAGTTTCTTATTGAGATCTCAAGTCAATTTAAAGCAGACAGTATTTATACAGAGAATGATATATGTCAAGCTGTTTGTTTTCTAGTTCATTTCTCAACCCATTCAACATACATATAGTTTAGAAAACATTAGTAAATACAACTTATATAATGTAAACAGTTTTTTAGACGATTGTGTAAGAAATTTCAATAATTTTATTATATCACAAAACCTTATTTTAACATTTTTTAAGGCATTAACAATGTAATTTTAAGTGTTTAATTCTGACAATTTTAACAATTGTTTCCAAAGCAAGTAATCGGTAAATCACCTTTTTCCAAAAACCAGAATTGAAAATGTATTTTTTAATTTATTCTTGATCAGAGAAAGCTGTTAAGTTAAATTACGTAATTTTTAATGGCTCTTCCTTGAAAGAGTTTCATTAATAAATATGAAACTGAGGAGCTGTTCTGATTATAGCTTTATAGTTATACTAGGCTTTTAGGGCGCTTCGCGCCCATCTTCTATTTCAACTTTTAATTGTGGCTTTATCTGTGAGCATCTTCTCTTTGTAAAGTATAAAACAAAAACAACAAAGTTTGCGGATTTCATTTTATTTTTAGCGCATGTTCAAAATTTTACAAAAATAAAAAACTTAAAAAATTTTTTTTTTTAAATTTTGATCATTCATAAACCTTCCCACACAAAATTTGGGCCCGATCGGTTCAGCCGTTTATTGGATACAAACAAACAGACACCCAGACAAGCTAAATTTATAAATAGGAATTCTTATCAGGAGCCATTACCTTTATTATCTAAATATTTAGACGTTGAAAATTATTTTGTGATTTTTTTTTCTTTGAGAAACCTTTTTGTTGAAGCCACATTATTTCAAAGCTACGCGTGCGGTTAAAATCAAACAGAAAGAAAAATGAAGATTAAAAGGTTTTATAACTTTGACGTTATATTTTAAATCTATGTTCACGGCTAGGGACAGATGTTGTAAAAAAGAAGGGGGGGGGANCAGAAGGGATATAATGCAACTGAGGAGAAATAATGGAGATAAGATAAGAAAAGGGTTATTATCAAATCACGGTGTAAGCTCAAGCTCCAGGATAAAAGTCAAGTAATTCTGAACTTTAGAGCACATTTTCATCCATTTTGCCATTTTTTTGCTTTTTGAAGGGCTACGCAATTTAAATGTTTAAGTAAAGAAAGTTGCGTACGCTATTTTGAGCGGATTTTGAATGAGAGATAAAATAAAATAGATAAAATAGATAAAATAGATAAAATAGATAAAATAGACAAGGGGAAGGACGGAATGAAAGAGGAAGGACGGAATGGAAGGACGGAATGAAAGGGGAAGCCCGGGATGAAAGGGGAAGAACGGAATGAAAGGGGAAGGCCGGGATGAAAGGGGAAGGCCGAAATGAAAGGGGTAGGCCGGGATGAAAGGGGAAGGACGGAATGAAATGGGAAGGACGGAATGAAAGGGGAAGAACGGAATTAAAGGGGAAGGACGGAATGAAAGGGGAAGGACGGGATGAAAGGGGAAGGACGGAATGAAAGGGGAAGGACAGTCAGATGTTGAAACTGTTGTTGAAGTTTTGACGACAGAAAATAGAAATGGGGTAAAAGTGTGGAGTCAGGAACGATATAAGGTCACACCTCTAAATGTATAAATTGAAAAGTTTCCCAGTTTTTAGAAAAAGTTTAAGTTTTGACTTGACACTTGTCAACTTGAAGATTATATTACAAGTAGACTTAGAACTTTTCAGTTACTAGTTCATGCATTCATACAGTATTTATAGTTTAATATTTAACATTTATTTATAGATTAGAATGTGTTATACTAAATGAAACAAGCCCGTCATACAAAGATTTGATAATGATAATGTTTTTAATTAAAATACAAACAGACACCTTTTTCTTGACGACATAGTTTTTGACTTATCAGCGTCGCTTATTTAAAGGGAGTGACTGGCAATGTATGGTGGTTGAATTGAATATATACTATTGTGGACAAATTTTAGGATTCATTTGCGACATATTAAACGTTCCTACGACGTATATTTACTGAATTTGAGCGTAAAGTCAGCCTTAAAATCATGAATTTGGGAGGGCACGTTTTCAGAATCGATTTTTTTAATTATTAAATAACAACGACAAAAAGATTTAAGTAAAATTCTACAGTAAACTTAATTAGTTGTTTAGGAACAGGTTGAGAAAATAAAAATTAACTCTTATCATCGAAAATAAGTAGTCTTACTCCATTATTAGTTTCTATAATCTCTGATTATTCACAAATATTTTCTGCAGATTTCCTGAAATTTTTGTTGAAAAGACGACATTTGAAGAATTTGCAGAAATCTGCTAACAAAGTCATAGAAAACAAGAAATTCAATATAATAAAACGAAGTAATTAATTCTAAAATTGATTTAATTATTAACAAATTTATTTTGAGTAATATGTTCCTGCAAACATCTAATCAGTTTACTATATAATTTTTACTTTATTTTTCCTCGTCGTTATTTAATAATTTTAAAAAAACCGATTCTGAAAACGTACCCAGTACCCACCCTAATTTATGATTTTGAACGTCGATTTTAAACTCAAAGTAATTGTGCACCGTGGGAAACGTTTTATATGTCTCAAATGAACCCTAAAAAGATTTTGTACAATATTGCATACTCAGTTCAACCACCATCCATTGCCGGTCACTCCCTTTGAAGGAATTGAGACTTTGCCACAAACTTTAATTTGCTAACCCCTATATCTTTGGGACCCAACATCGTAGACCTTGGATATTTTTTAAACTATGAATTCTGTTAGATCAAATAATACATAAAGTTTGAAATACAAAATGTTCACACCATCATGTTGCAAAGATATAATGATTAGAAAAGTTGAGTTAGCTGCAAAGACTCAATTACTTTGTGTTCAAAATTTTTTCTCTGAAATTCGATTTTCATTGTTCTATCTTTTTTAATATAAACGCAGTGGCGTATACAACAACGAGGTGGGATCAAGTCCAAAAAGGTTAAGCCCCCCCCCCTTCCACCCGGAAACATTACAAGCAGTGGCGTACATAGGGGGGGGGCAGTAGTCCTCTTGCCCCCCCTGGGAGTTCCAGGGGGGGGCCCTACCCCCCCCCTGGAAAATACAAAATTAAAAGAAAACAAATTTAAAAAGTAACAGCTGACAATGACAAAGACTAAGGATTTGTCTAACTTCACTGTTAANCTCGTCAATATGATAATTTCATAATTTGTTATTATCAAAATAAAATTCACTCCTGAGTGGTTTAATAATTATGAAATCCATTAAAACACCAAACCATCCCACTTATCATTGAAGTACACTTTGACCCCTAGAAGTATGAGTTCGCGGACTGTAAAATTCTTGGTGATTTTACGTACATAAGCTTATTATTATTGTTTATTTATTTATCTATGTCTACAACATTTGGTTCCAAAGATATAGGGATTAGAAAATCAGAGTTTGTGGCAAAGACTGAATTCCTTTATTTCAATAAAGAGATATTAAGCGTAATTTCAAGTTCCCCTTTATGCAATGATGACAATAACATCGAATGAAGGAAAGAGAAGTTTTAGCCTTCTAAAGAGAATACTTCATTACACAAGATGTACTATGACGGAGTGCAGACCTAACGATCTTGCACTTATGGCTCACTTCTGAGAAAATTATTGAAATGTTTGTGCAAGCAAATCCAAGAAAATTGAAGCTTAAAAGAGTTTATGAATATGTAGATGGAGTAAAATTCTATCTAAAAATTTCAGAAGAAATTTCGTTTATTAGTGAAAATATGATTTTTTAATGATGCTGTGATTATTGATTTAGTTAGCTGTGATGGAGTTAAGTGATAAATTTATAAATTTATAAAATTAAAAAGTTAAAGTTAGTTTTTAGAGCAAAGGAATACATTTTAGTATGAATTTTAGACTCTATAAGGTTAGTAGCACCCAAAAATGTAGTCTTTTGGTGTATTTTTATGGGGTTAATTGACTTTTTGAACAAAACAATTCCAGGGGGGGGCAAAAAAAAATTTTTCGCGCTTCGCGCGAAATCTTGCCCCCCCATGGCTAAAATCCTGTGTACGCGCCTGATTACAAGTGTCTGTAATCTAATGAAATGAGACCCAATGAAAAAGGCACAACAAAAACATTCAATTTGTGCAAATTTTTTGCAATTATTCTCGGCAATCTTAGAACATTTTTGCATTTTATAATAACACAACTAGGCAGTTTTTGTGTGAAGGCTTTTGTAAGCCAAATATTTGATTATATAAAAATGGGTGCAAACAATGAAGATACATTATAGAACCCCACTTTCTTCATTTCTTCCACAGAACACAGTTACACAGAGATTTGAGGATTCTTGGTTTATTTTCCTTGGTCTAATATATTTGGAGAATGGTATAGGGGAAATTTAAAGGAGAGGGGAGGNTATGATAGGGTGGGTTTTTGAAAGTGAGGGGATATTTGAAGAGTAGGAGGACGTTAGAAGGAGAGGGATATTTGAATAAGGGAAGAGGGTATTAAAGGGAGGGGGGTGGGGATAATCTACCTGTACAAACTGGAGGATTTGAGCTCCAGACACCATCCCTGCATTTAGATCTTTTAGCTCCAACTAACACAAATCCAGCCTAAATATATTTAATCTTATAATAGAGTTGGAACATCATTTTCATTCCTCTTTAAAAATTTAGGATGTTTAGGCTTTCAGATGACTCCACAAAAACCTAAGAAATTCATATATTTCAAAAACAAATTCTTATTCAAGACTATTGGATAATATTTTTAATTAATGTTTAGACTAAAACACGTTGAATTTTAAAAAATGATGGCCAACTCTATTTTAAATCCTAAATAATTCTAATCTGAAAGCGGTATTCAACGTAATTCTAGTGATCCTGAATCCGTAAATGGTTTCGATCTTATCAAATCTAATTTTTGACACTAACACATGGAAATCTCTGGACTTATAAGAAAAAGAAATTGAAAAATACAAATTTATTTCATAGAGTTCAGGGTGTCCCAGTAAACATGGGAGTTCGATTTTGTCTCTGAACTCCTATGTTTTTGTCGGAAACCCTGTATGGATCAGTAAGGTTCGAATGTCGACCGGTGATTTAAAGAAAATCTCAAATAGTCCAAACATTATTTAATGATTCATAAATAGAGTGGCTTCATATACCAACAATTCTGTATTTTTTTCAAATATGTTTTTGGCGCACTTTTTGAAATCTCTCCAGCACTCTAACTTACTTAGAATTTTAGATTTTTTCATTTAACAAAAAGTGTGCAGTCTTTTTAATGTTTTAATGCCTTTTTCCAATCGGTTATAGTAATGCCTATTTATATATATATGTATATTGTCTTTGCAAAAAGACTCTTTAGGACTAGGACATGAGATATTTATATAAAGAGGTACTGCAAAATGCACTTAAGTCTTATACACTCCTTTAGAGTCTTTTATAAATTCTTAAAATCTTTGAATAAAAGACTTCCACTTTTTAAAATAATTAATTGTTAAAATGTTCTGTTTTCGACTTTAAACATTCCATGTGAAAGCCAGATTGAGGATTGCGTTTCCGGCGTTTTTAAAATCCAACTTAATTCTTAACTCATTGCAGTTAAACGAATCTATTTGTTTCATAATAAGACTATTTTTACCGAAGAAAATATTTGTCGCTAAAATGTAATAGTACATATATCGTTTAAAACTAAAATTGATATCGATCAACCCAATTAAAGAATGTATAAATGTATGTTTAAGTAACCCTAACTCCAGTTAAAGAGTACCATCTCGGATTCACGATGATACGTACAATCTAATCCTCTTCTAATCATGAACGATTAAGATTTCCTAGTTTTACTTTCTGATTAATCTCTATTTGGATTTCGTTGGAAAAGAAACAATGAAGTAAATTGTCAGAATTCAAAATTCTTCCACAGTTACTCAAGTAAAGGTTTAAAGAGAACCCTTGTTAATCTGATATACCACTCTATAGCAGAAGTGTCACTTGAAAATATGAATGTTTATATACCTGGCACTTGAAAATATGAGTGTTTATATACCTGGCACTTGAAAATATGAGTGTTTATATACCTGTCACTTGAAAATATGAGTGTTTATATACCTGTCACTTGAAAATATGAGTGTTTATATAGCTGTCACTTGAAAATATGAGTGTTTATATACCTAACAATTGAAAATATGAGTGTTTATTTACCTGTCACTTGAAAATATGAGTGTTTATATACCTGTCACTTGAAAATATGAGTGTTTATATACATGTCACTTGAAAATATGAGTGTTTATATACCTGTCACTTGAAAATTTGAGTGTTTATATACCTTACACTTGAAAATATGAGTGTTTATATACCTGACACTTGAAAATATGAGTGTTTATATACCTGGCACTTGAAAATATGAGTGTTAATATACCTGGCACGTGAAAATATAAGTGTTTATATACCTGTCACTTGAAAATATGAGTGTTTATATACCTGACACTTGAAAATATGAGTGTTTATATACCTGTTTTCTTGAAAATATGAGTGTTTATATACCTGTCACTTGAAATATGAGTGTTTATATACCTGTCACTTGAAAATATGAGTGTTTATATACCTGTCACTTAAAAATATGAGTGGTTATATACCCGGCACTTGAAAATATGAGTGTTTATATACCTGACACTTGAAAATATGAGTATTTATATACCTGTCACTTAAAAATATGAGTTTTTATATACCTGACATATATACCTGACACTTGAAAATATGAGTGTTTATATACCTGACACTTGAAAGTGCCGACCCACTGAGATAAATCTCCCTCCCCGGCCACCTCACCATTCTCTAATTCAGGTTCCAAACAATCTAAATATAAATAGATAAAGGAACCGTGGTAGTTATTTCAAGTAACCATTCATGCAAAGATTTCAATGTTATTACTACAGTTTCAGTAGAAGTAAATATTTCTATTTTCTGTTATAACGCCGATATAAGGATTCATCTATAATTGGATAATGAAATAGATAGATAGATATATGTTACCGCCATACTTTTTCTATTGGTTCAGAATAGACATCAAACACATGACTGTACCCTGATTGGATCAGACGCTTATGGACTCGGTATACAGGAGTGTTAGTTTTACAATGGTATCTTTGAAACCTTTATCTGGAAGATATTGTCGTTTTTTCTAGTTTAAAAAGTGTATAAATTCGATAATTCTGATATGTTTTCCTGTAGTGGAAATGTGCAAGTCACATTTGTTAAGAACCCAAAAATGAAAATAATCAGTATATTATAAACATGGATATCTAATTCATCTTGGTCAGACAAAACTTTTAAAGGTACCGTTGTGAATCGGGCATTGCCATCTTTGCCATTTACAAATATCACTTAGAAATCAAAAGGTAGTATTAATATTATTCAAAAGCTTACAGTTGTAAAACTGATAGTTTAACATCCTTTTAAAATATAAATTATGACTATTATTTAAAAGTTTCATAGCTCTAAATGTCATTCGAAAACGATAGTTATAAATATCATTTAAAGGGGCTGTAAATGTGTTTTCAAGTGACCCTCCATGGAAGAATGGCAATGCCCGATTCACAACGGTACCCTTAAAAACCCTTTGTCTTGTCAAGTATGTATAAGATATAAATGTTTATTATGTAAAATCTAATTATTTTTAAATGTGGTTCCCCTACACGGCAGGAAAATATATTGAGTTAAACATCTTCATCTTCCACTTGATTGATCAGATAATGGATTCAAGGGGTACAAGAATTTTCAAATTTTTTGCAAAAGTTTCATATATTATGTTTAATTTTAAATAATCAATAACTCGAAGAAATATTATAATTTGAAAGGAAGACGACATTCGCAACGAAATCATGTTTTGCGTTTTTCCCCTTAGCAGTATTTCATGTTAGAATTAACTAAACGCTTAATTGTTTGTGTTAAATGATAATTTTAAATGTTTTAATTGTAAAAAGCATTAAAATCATTTACAAGCTATAAGACATTGTTTTATTCTTGATTTAGTAAAGTCACTTGGAGATTTAATCGTGGATAGTAGGACCTCCCCAAAAGCCTTACTTAAAATGGTTAAATCCTTATCCCTATCACGTGGGGGGAAGGGGAGGTAATTTTCAAGCCCCCCCCCCACATGTGTTTTTTCTAAATAACTTAAAAATGGCTGACATTGAATGCTAAAACTTCTTTACTTTGTCAACTTCATAGGGTGGAGGACAGTCAAACGGCGGGTCCTTCAAAAAATGACAAATGGTTTAGTGAGCAGAACTATATTTACCGAGGCACCTTAACATTAAAGACAGAGGTCTAATTTTTTTTAATGAGTGGGCCTTGAAAAGTTGGACTAGAGATATCTCACACTCCCCTATCTCAACTCTTAAGGCAAAATAATAGGGGGGGGGGGAACCCCTCCCCTAATCTATATTAGACAAAAATAGCCAAATCAGGATAGGGTTAAGAGGAGATGAACTGTCGCAGATGAGATGAACTGATTCAGGACACCGGCTCAAATTTTAGACAAATTACCTGTAGTTAAAGTTATGCTGGCTGGAACAGATTGAAGAAGAAGCAATATAAACAAAATATTAATCATTGTGCTTTAAACACTTCACAATATTCAGTCACATTGTGTTAGACCTCTTTTTGGATTTTACAGAAATTACCACAGACACCTTATCATCTTTTTAGCATGCGCTCTGAAATGTATGTATGTGAAATATTACAATTTTTAAATGTGGATTATACAAATTATAAATTCTGACATTTCTTAGAAATAACTAACAAACCGTTTCAAAAATCCAAATATCATTTTTTTTTCGTTAAATTTTTGCTTTTATTGACAAGTTTATTTTTGTAATTTCATTTGCTGCTGTAATGATTTAGTGCAGAAATTAATATTTTTTTTTGTTATATTTCTTAATTTTCTTTATTTCATTTTTTCCTTACATGTGGCCAATATTGGTATTACTTTTATGATCATAATAGTTTTTTCTTATTTTGTATTTAAATTGTTATTTATATTGCATAAGGATGGAAAAGTTATTTATGTCATTTTATTGTTGTTATTGTGTTTTTCTTCAGTGTTATTGTACTGTTATTGTTATTGTTGTATTTGATGCATATATGTCTATAGGCAGACGGATGTCTGTGTACTGACTACTGGGTGTAAGAAGGCCTAAACTAAAGCATAGTGATGTAGGCTCAAGAAATATTTTTCAGTCATTCCGATATATACACAGATTTTCTAAAAACCCCGGTCGTTTTACACAAACACTTTGAGATTAAACTTTTGAAAGATGCTTAAGATCATATATATGTACGTACACAATTAACTCGGAATGCTCCGAATAAAAATGTGCGAATTAGAGAGATACAAAATAATTCATCATAAAACAAAAAAAGGAAAAAATCGTTGCATAATTGTGCATCAAAATGACGCAACTATGGTAAACGGAACATTTTTTACATTTTTGCGGAGTTTCTGCACATCTGTTATGCCTTAACTGAAAGTGTTTTCTTTGTGCGAAGTATTAATTGTTCACAACCCAATTCAAAATACACAAAATAATGTTATGGAATTTTATGCCAAAAGAAGATATAGCTTGAAAAATGTTGTCAAAGTTTTGACGATCTTTAGTTATTTAAAAAAATGTTTAGATGTATTTAATCGGATTTTCGGTAAGGGCCTTAAGACCCAAAGATTGCTTGATTATTTTGTTGTAATTTTTAGCTGTCTGAGAAATTACGACTGAATAAATCGATTTCACAAAAATAAGTTTAAAATTTTTTCACTAATTTTAAATTCGTTAAATTCGGCCTCAGGTCGCAACAGTTTCATTCTTATTAGCTTTTTAGAATGAATTGATGAAAACCAGTTCCTTTTTATAGATTAGACCTTAAATGGGACAAGATTTAAGAAAAAGCGAGACATGGTTGAACGAGGGACAGCTTCCGAACCTCATTTTACCGATTTTCGGCAGTGCGCGTCCCCACAGGGCTTCCGAACCTCCTACAAACAGTCTTCCGGGGATGATCTTTCGTTTATAATCGTCAATTTCTACTTTAAACGGGTCTAATTAGATTATTTAAGCACAGTAGTCAATCATATAGTATCCTTAACATTTTCATAATATTTTTATTTAAATTGAAAATAAACAGCTTTCAAAGCAAAATAATGAATATCTAATTCATGCTAGATCATAAACAAAGTGTTTTCCATTGTAAATCGAGCGTGCCAGAGCATTATAGAGGGTCACTTGAAACAACAGTTAAAACCAGAAAACTACGGAATAGGAAGACGAATTATAGCAATGTTTAAGTGTAATTATCACTCTACGTTTGCAGAAGAACACAATAAACGCCTTAGCTTTAAAATACAATTAGAGATTAAAAGTCGTTTTTGTCGGTTTTAATGCGATTAAAGAAAAAAGTTCGTTTTCCATTGTAAATTAAAAACCATATTTTTTCATTTTCTGTTTAAAGATCAAAAACTAGCTCTTTTTGTTTCATAAAAAAACCGTTTTGCAGTTTCAAATTGAAAATAAACGTTTGTTTGAAAACAAAGGAAAAAACTGCTTATTTGCTTAGCTTGGCATTTTATTTCTTTCAACTCAGGCATCGTAAAGGTTAGTGTCCCAAAATTTTGCGATTTTTATTACACAGTCATAAGACATGTTGTAAAAAATCAAAGCCCTAGGTCAACTAGCTGCCTGACTGACTACCTACAACCTGAAATCAGACAAAATAACGCCAAAAAACGCTTTTAGACAGTACCTACACCCTAAACTAATGCATTGATCAGCAGTACAATGACAGAGGAAAAAGTGGGTTTCATTGGAGAGTGCTTAGGTAGGGTTGGTAAGTGTCTGTAAAACAACTAACGAATTTATTTATTTTTAAAAAACATTCTTTTCAAACGATCGTTTCGCTTCTCGTTTTATCCAACATCGTTAACGAAACGAGCAGTTTGTTTTCAGAATAGTGAACATCACGATGCGTCGATGCATCCCTATACATAGACAATCAGGGAGTTGACTTGCAAAAGTTTGTTATAAAAAATCGTTGAATAATCGTTTTAATAAGTTTCTGATCCCAAAAAAAAGTTCAGTCAAAGAAAAAAATTCCGTTCGTTTTTAAAAAAAAAGACACCTTTATTTACAGAAACAATGCTTCTCTCATATTCGTATCTAATAAATCAAAATTTGAAAAAGACTGTACTGACAGACAAACAGACAGACAGACAGACAACCTGAAACTCTTAATATCTGATGATGTCACGGTAAGATAAAGTCTTTTTTTGGGTTTTTGATGATAAACACAAATAAACAAGTTTGCCAATGCTGGGAATTATAGATTTTAGGAAACATACAGTTTAAATTCTGTAAAGTCGTCTTTGAAGTCACATTCTTTTTCCAGAGATTAAAACTTTCAAATTTTTCTAAAATCCATCTTAACAAAGACGACTTTCTAAGTTGCCCTTGCTCTTAGATGAAAAAAATTAATAATCTATGTGCCAAACTTATTATTTCTATTAACTTAGTCAGTGGCGTTGCTTAGGATATCTCGGGGGGGNCGCGCGTAGCGAGCCGATTTTTATATCTTAACTAAGTAGCATAAGAATTTTACCTTAGTTTAATGTTATTTATTGATTGTCATGATTTGTACTGTAACTTATAAAGTGGTTATTAAGATTTTGTGATTTTTATTACACAGTCACAAGAAATGTTGTAAAAAAATCAAAGCCCTAGGTCAACTAACTGCCTGACTGACTACCTTCAACCTGAAATCAGACAAAATAACGCCAAAAAGACGCTTTTAGACAGTACCTACACCCTAATGCAGTGATCAGCAGTACAATGACAGAGGAAAAAGAGGGTTTCATTGGAGAGTGCTTAAAAATGAATAATCTATGTGCCAAACTTATTATTGCTAATAACTTAGTCAGTGGCGTTGCTAAGGATTTCTCTTTGGGGGGGGGGGGGGGGTAAATTTCTATAAATGCGCGCGTAGCGAGCCGATTTTTATATCTTATCCCCCCCACCAAGAGGGACCCCCTGACGCCATGAGCCTTCGCTATGCAGTAAACGAGCCTCCGCTATACATCACAGCTTCCTTATAACCCTTATTTTTTAAATATAATATAGAATTTTCATAATTTTTTTCAACAAAGTAGCATAAGAATTTTACCTTAGATTAATGTTGTTTATTGATTGTCATGATTTGTAACTCATAAAGTGGTTATTAAGATTTATGTTTTACAATGAAACATTTCTTACGCAGTAAGGAGGCTATTTGGAAATTCATTTCTTAATTGAACTTAGTTTATTTTGTTTTAATCTTTGATATAAGCAAGGCCTTTTTTGGAAAATTTATTTAAATTTAGATTATTTGTCAATGTAAAATTTTTGATCATCTTAACCTGATAAAAATTTCAGAAAAGGGTATCAATTATATCAAAGATTATAGAATAAGGAATAAATTACTTTCAAATCTATTCTTTAAATGGTTTCCTTTTTTCGTAAAAAAAGTTTCAACTTTTATACACCATTTTCTAGTAATAAGTAGTTACTATATATAATAATTTAAAATCCTTCTGATCTTTTGATAGACTTTTTATAGAACTATGTTGAAAAAACTGAAAAAAAATTCTATTTTACATTAAAATCAAGAGTTATAAGGGAACTGTGCTGTTATAGCAGAGGCTCGTTAACTGCATAGCGGAGGATCAGTCTGCCTAGCAAATCTAGGAGGCTCATGTCTGCACAGCGGAGGCTCATGGTGTCCGGGGGTTCCCTCCCTCCCCCAAGACAATATTCAATACAACCCCATTCATGATGTATATCATATGGGGGTTGTTTCAATTTACCATTCATTTCTGGCATTATCAATTAAAAGGCTTCCTTTACCGCCTTGCAGTTATCATGTTTCTTAATCTATACCCCCCCCCCACAGAAGAGCTTTATTTCTAATTTGAGATAAAATATTGAAGTTCGATAAATACTTCCCACCCACCTTCACCCCAGTGCAACTACTTAACTGCATTAAATAATCGATTTTGGTAAAACCTATCTGTGCTACTTTGATTATGTTAATTGAATTTAATGATGCGCGAAGCGCCAACAATTTGTTTCTTCATAAATTCATTTTTTTTGTAATCATGGACCTGGAGAATGGAGATCAAGTTTCTAGAAGAAGATAATTATAACCCTAGGATTCTAGGGCAGGAATAAATTACCCCTAATAACCCCCCCTATCTGCGCGCCACTCCATTCACACAACCTATATCTAGGTTCCGTTCATGGCTGCACTATCTCTCCTGATCTCCTCTGGAATCCTTCAGGATGGCACCGCTATATGTCTGATACTTAGTGATCTTTATTATGTCCTTGTCTATGTTTCTTTACCATGTCATATCTCTAGCAGTGTCCTTTTTCCAGATACTGATGTACCGAAGACCTTAAGGCCTTTCCGTGTTTATTTCATATACAAGTCTGATCCTCGTCTCTTCTCGTAACCCCAGAGGACTGATCCGGAAGCGCACCTGTTCCTGTTGCTTGTGCGGTACCAGGTGGTCCCTCTCCTTTCTGATCTCCCTGCTCCTCACCTAGACGAGACCGCGCGCCCAAACGCGCTCGGACTGAACTAGGAGGACTTACTCTAGCTGAGCAGATACCCAAGGTGTTTAGTCTTACGACGCCAATGCTTCTAAGTTATTAGCAAGAACGATTGCATTTTATTCTGACAACACCTATTTATTACATGTGACTGTGAATTGTAATTGCAAATTGTATTTTCTACTTTAGTTCTATAAAAACACCACACAATTTTTGAACATGCACTCTACTAGAAATTGTGTATTGTAATCTAATTTCTAAAATCTTAAATTTTATGCAAGATACTGAATATCTAATTTTATGAAAACCCTATTATTATTTCAGGGCTTTTAAGAACAAGAAATACTATTACAGAGTTTATTTATTCAAAATACATATCGAAACCTTGGTACATAAGATACATGATGAATTGAACAGTATTACATTTGCTCCAAAAAAAACCCACCAATTTATAGATTTATATAATTTCAAGGATATCTGTAATTATTTATTTTTTCAGGATTAAAGGATTCTTTATAAAGGATTAAATCATAACTGAGGTATTTATCTCTAATACTACTATCATTAACTGAGTCGGTTCTTCATCAGTATTTTCCACTGTCTTTTCGTACAAGAGATTTGCGCATTTCACTCATATCTGAAACGGAAGCAAACAGCGGCATTGACGCAACATCGTCGTCTTCGTAGATTTTAGTGAAATGGTGATTTATCAAATCCTCAGCGGTATCGCGCTTTAAAGGATCGTGAACAAAACACCGAGCCAAGAAATTCTTTCCTTCGTCTGACAGTGTGGAAGGAATACCAGGAGTTTGACCCATTCCAACCTTTAAATAAAAAAATAAAGATTTATTTTAAATCCTAAATGTTTGGATGTTTTGTTCATTATATTTTGTTTTGGATTGGGTCATAATGCTAACATTATGGAGCAGAATATCGGTTAGGTCTCACTTCAGAAGTTGTCTTTTAATACCTTTTCATTGTAAATGTAAATTTAAATGCCGACAAAATATTTGCTGAAGAAAAAAGGCAAAAAATTTAGGTTTATTATTTAAAGCTTTTAAAGGAAAATAAAATCTACTAGCTTGGGGACCCAGCGTTGCTGAAGGTAGTCACAAGTAGTCCCGCCGTTTATCCACCCCGTGTCATAAATTACGATTTTAGCTATTTTTCCTTATAAAAGTCGACCCATTCGACATAGAATCTTAAAACTAAGAACATTCCCGTGGTTCTCCCGAGTTACCCAATCAAAATTTGAGACAAATCGGTCCAGGGGTTCCGAGATTAAAATTTTATATGTATTGATACCTTGAACATAATTTGATAATTACTCTCAAGCTCTGCCCAAGGCCGGAGTCCGGTCACCATCTCTATGACCACACAGCCTAGTGACCAGATGTCCGCTGACCGACCATGCCCCTCGCTCATATTACGGGTGAACACCTGATTAAAACAAAATATGAACTTAATCTACAGATTAACTACTTCTAGCTTTTTATTAAAATTTCAGTTGTAAATAACAACCTTTCACAGTATTTTTAACCAAAATAAAAAAAAATAGATTTGTATTGGTTTTCACTGTAACTAATAAGAAGCAAATTTATTATTACTAGCTGAAGGACCCAGCGTTGCCCGTGGAAAAAATCAAACTTTTTTAGCATTTAACACCCCCCGGCCACCCATGAGTGTCCACACAAAATTTCAGCCCAATCGGTCCAGCCGTTTAGCCGGCTATAGGGAACATATATATACGAATGTCTTGTTTTATTATATAGATTGGAAGAACTACTAATATCTATACTTGTTAGTATTTAAAATTCATAAATAAAAATGTTAATGTTAAATTGAATAAAGAACTAAACTTTTGTGTGGAGTATCGATTTGATTGTTGGCACTTTCAAATTTGAGAAGAAATACTTAATTCCTCCAATAAAGTTATCTCTGCAGGGTATGAACACCACGGGATATTGAACACGAATAAAATCAATCAGTGTGGCATTGCATAAGATGAAGATAAATGCACGATTTCGAAAAGTTGTAACGCCTGTCAGTTACCTCTGGAGCCATAAATGCCTGTGTACCAACAAACCCCTGAAGTTCTCCAGGCATAGTAGTGTGTGCCTTAATTTTAACAGCACAACCAAAATCTCCAAGCTTTAAGTTCTAAATAAAAAAAATAGTTAAATTATTAATAACAAAGACATTAAAAAAATATTGGCCGCAACTTTTATTATTATTGTTTACGGTAGTTTTTAGCAACCTTAAATTCATAAATTGGTATATATAACCCACACTGGTAGTCTTCAGTTTTAAATCAACAATCAACAATTATCAATTTTCAGATCAAAGAAAAGATTATTCGCTTCGACGAAAGGTTGGGATTCGAACATGCCCTTTGGTTGAAATAACATGGAGGACAGTACCTTTACATATATCTTACCCTCATATCATCTGTGAGAAATATATTTGCTCCTTTAATATCTCTGTGCACTATTCCGTTCTCATGCAGACAAGCCACTGCCTGAATAAAAACATATTAAAACAAAACGTTCTTTTTAATGTCGCCTTCGTAGCTTTCTTTCAGGTGCTGGTGTTTTTGAAAAAAAATGTTATAGATTCATCATACCAACTGTATATGTAGCAAAACTTGGGGCCTAATGTACCTATTGTAGCTGGCCTATGTACTGTACCTGCAGGAGCTGTTCTGTGTACTGTAACTGTAGGAGCTGGTCTGTGTACTGTACCTGTAGAAGCTGGTCTGTGTACTGTACCTGTAGAAGCTCGGCTGTGTACTGTACCTGTAGGAGCTGGCCTGTGTACTGTACCTGCAGGAGCTGGTTTGTGTACTGTACCTGCAGTAGCTGGTCTAGTGTAATGTACCTGTAAGAGCTGGCTTGTGTACTGTACCTGCAGGAGCTGGCCTGTGTACTGTACCTGCAGGAGCTGGTCTGTGTACTGTACCTGTAGTATCTGGCCTGTGTACTGCACCTGTAAGAGCTGTTCTGTGTACTGTACCTGCAGGCACTGGCCAGTGTACTGTACCTTTACCAGCTGGCCTGTGTACTGTACCTAAAGGAGCTGGTCTGTGTACTCTACCTGCAGTAGCTGGCCTGTGTACTGCACCTGTAAGAGCTGGTCTGTGTACTGTACCTGCAGGAGCTGGCCTGTGTACTATACCTGCAGGAGCTGGTCTGTGTACTGTACCTGCAGTAGCTGGCCTGTGTACTGTACCTGTAGGAGCTGGCCTGTGTACTGTACCTGTAGGGGCTGGCCTGTGCACTGTACCTGTAGGAGCTGGTCTGTGTACTGCACCTGTAATAGCTGGTCTGTGTACTGTACCTGTAAGAGCTGGTCTGTGTACTGCACCTGTAAGAGCTGGTCTGTGTACTGTAACTGTAAGAGCTGGTCTGTGCACTGTATCTGTAGGAGCTGGCCAGTGTACTGTACCTGTAGGAGCTGGCCTGTATACCGTCTAACCAAAGACTCCTCAAGGCCTGCCTCTGTACTGCTGCAGAGTGCCTCTAAAGTACCTTCAGGACAGTACTCCATGAATATCAACATCTCTTCCCTTGACAAATAGAAAATTATATTTTAACATGAACAAATATGCGACTGAAGTACAAAGTTCTCTTATGTCTATCGAAAATGGTAAAACTGAGATAAAAATTAAGAAACATGCAAATTACAGTAAGACCTCTAATACTGTTGATTGTTGATAAGGAAGATAACATTAGAGACATCTTTATGTATTAGATGTTGTTTTAAAGCAAATATTTCACCAGTAGCTTCCTTTATTATCAACTAAGTAATAACGGTCTATATATAAATTTATCTTGTCTGTCTGTCTGTTTGTATCCAATAAACGTCAAAACGGCTGAACCGATCAGGCCCAAATTTGTGTGTGACCTCACGTGGCCCCAGGTAAGGTTTATGAATGATCAAAATTTCAAACATTTGTCTCCATCAAAATTCGATTTTAATTTAATTTTTGAAAATTTTGAAAATCCACAAAATTTGATTGTTAAAATCCGTGAACTTTTTGGTTTGGTGTTACGATGTACACAAAGAGAATAGCTAGTAAAGGTTAAATGGGTCTAATCTTCAGTACGATTTCTGTATTTTGTATTCATTGGTCTACAAACGTTTAATGAATCTTCTAAAATTTGGACGCAGTGGTCGGCGTTTATAGCAATACAATGAAGACGACTTTTTTATTTAAGTTTTGATTTCTAACAGGGTTTTTTCAAATTATAAGTTTACAAGTAAACAAAGAGAAGCAGTTAATTTACAGCTTCTCTTTGTTTCCATGATTATGTGAATCCATGCTGTTTGAAAGCTAAGTAGAAATCAAAAATCAAAATCAAAAGTCGTCTTCATTGAAGTGATAAATACGTCGACGACGACGACTGTATCATCAAGAACTGAATGATAGAAATAGCTTCGTCGTTAGAAATGATTATTTTGGGGTGGGGTTATTATGGGTTCTGTACAAAAGTAACTTGGAATTTCTTGCTTTAAAAACAATGGGAACATACAGAATTAAGCACTTTTCAAACGTGGCACTCTGAAAATGGAGGATCACTTAAATTTCGAAAACACTCCCTTTAAGCTTTTACCTGTGTATCTCTACTCCAAAATGGTTTACAAGGTTAGGATGATGAATGGATTCAAATATTCTTAACTCATCAGCTACACTTCTGAACACAAACACAATACATTCAAATCATTCAAATCAAAACATTTGGGAAAATAGATCCAGCGCTGAACTCACGCAGATTTAAGGGTTTGGAACTATTCCCTGCAATCCCTGACTTTTGATAACATTTTGACCAATTAAACATAAATATTCTGCTTCTACTCTAATACTTTTATGTCTGCGGGTTAATTTTAAATGAGCAAATTTAAAAAATTAAATTTGTAAGTTAAACATTAAAATTTAAACAAAATGCCATTGAATTCAAATTACAGAAAACGGAAGCATCTAACTTTGGGTTAACAAGCTTTAAAATAAAAATTAACAATATCGTTAACGCTTAGTAGATACAAAATATTCGTTAACTGCCTACATCGTTAACGGATGGTATGTTCGATAAGGTCGAAGCTTGCACATTATAAACACAAATATTTGTTCATGTCTTTCATGCATCTTAAACCATAATAACTTTTTTTTGTAAATTATTAATTTTTTAATCAACAGCTCATTTCGTGAATTCAAATTTGAAATTAACGGGTTTTCTGTTCGCTAATGAAGTTTCATGTTAATTTTATAACACTGCCATGAAATGCAATGGAAAGCATTCAATCAATTGTTTAAAACAACTTACTTTAAAGTTTTGTGATCATTGGGTTGGAGAGGTATTTCTTTCATCGCCATTATATCACCAGTCTCATTGTTAATAGCAGTGTACACTTTACCAAAGTGTCCTTGACCTGAAAAACACAATTCAGTGAGGCCCAAAAACCTGTGGAATTAATAAGAAGACTGAATTTTCATTTTAAAAAGAGAATTTTTGTCATTAGAAATTACGCGTTTAGTCCCTTTAAACGGAGAAGCAACCCAAATTATTTGAACTGTCCCATTAATGTTAAGAACTGGTAAGGGAGAATAGTTTACTATTCAGAATATATAAAGTTTGTGAAGTGCACAGCACCATGTGATTGAGACATTAAACATTTAGTTCTAGTTCTACTAGCATTCAGTTATGATTAGATTAGTATTTATAATCATTATAATAGATGGGGTCACATCTCAATATGGACAGATCCCTTCGGTAACTCATTTATTCAGATAGGGTTGCTAGGAAAACATCATGGTGTAAAGGAAATAATCCATTGATAATAACAACATTTCAGAAAAACAAGCTTATATTGTCATGTCATGTCATGTCATGTCATGTCATGTCATGTCATGTCATGTCATGTCATGTCATGTCATGTCATTTCACGTCATTTTATATCATGTAATGTCATGTACTATAACAAGCATAAAAATGTATCCCATAAAATCAAATTTCTGAAAAAAACATTGTTAAGAATTATAATAATTTATGTTACCATAACCTGAACAAAAATGTCATGTCATGTCATGTCATGTCATGTCATGTCATGTCATGTCATGTCATGTCATTACATGTCACAAACTAATCTCTTTATTTGATATTTTTTAAACTTCCTTGTAGAACATTGTTTTGAATTACATTACATATTAATTGATATTTAGGACACTAACTCTATTCGACTTCTTCAGCAGAGTGTATCCCAACTTCATGGGGTCTCAGACAGGTCAAACTAGTAGTTAAATTATTGCTGAGACTGAAGTTAAAAATTTACCAAGTCCTTGTCAAAGAAAATGAAGAATACCAAAAGGACCAAAGTAAGTCAAAGTATCATTGAACTCAAATTTGCTAATAATTTAACTTAAAAATAATAAAATGCCTTTTATAATTTTTTGCATTTTTTTAATGCTAATACTGCACATTTTTTGTGTACAAATTGCATAACATTTTTGTGCACAAATTGACATAATTTGGTTAATTTAAACACATTTAATCCTGCAATTTCCGACCGTAGAATGATCCAACAATGGTTGTCTAATTAGATAATATAATAATTAGATTAATTGATGTTGAAACCAATGTAAAGATGATCTTAATGAAGCTAAATATCCTCGACTCGTCTATTAATAATAAGGTAAAACTAAAAAGATAAACGATTGGCAACTTTTGTGTATTTAATTACTAATTTGTTTCTTTATTGTTTTATCAGTCTTCATTATCATTTGTTACTTAATTCTTTATCTATATTAAATCATCTTTCATTAACAGTATTTAATTATCAATTAATGATAGTTTTTACAGAGTGTATCACAAATAAAGCATAAATAGCATTTTTTTCATATAATACAAATATCTTAAACCAGTCAGTATCAAATAATAAAATTATAAAAACCAAAAGTTTAAACAAAGTATGGGGTTATCAAGAAGTAAAATCAATAAAAAAGTAAAAAAATATTATGATACAAAAAAAATTAAAAGCAAAACTTTACATATATTTTAGGATTCAGAGAGCTCTTTGGAAAGTTCAGAGTTGAAAAGGCAATTAGACATTATGTTTTCCAAGATGGAGTCCCTAGATTATGATGTAAGTAGAATTAATTATTACTCAAATGAATTGTAGGATAACTCACTGCAACAACTTTGTTTAAACAACTGCCACATAAAGACTGTAATTAGGAACAAATGAACTGCTTTAGATAAGTGGGTTTGGACTTCAATTGGAGACATTGAAAAAAGATTTGGATTTCATGAAGAAAGGATATTCAGGAGTTTATGATTTAGTATCTAATTCTGTGGACTCAAGACAATGTGGTAACTTACCTTTTTATTTAAAATATTAAAATGATTTCATCTCTCTACCTGTGGAGGAGGGCGATATGGCACAAAAACAAGTTTACACTACTCATTGGCTAAGTTTAATTGCATGTTTATTGTAAAATATTGCATAAATATGTATCTTCCATGTCTAACTTGCATAAAGGTTTACACATTAAATCAAATTTTATAAACACACTGCCTGAAAATTTTGCACAAACTTATAATTGATGAAACTTCTTGCACACCATCTTAATTTGCATATGATAAGCAAACCAGTATTTAAAAGGAATAAACAAGCCGGTGCAAGTTTTCACCAAATAATGTTCTAAAATTACTGGAAACCCAAGGTAGAGGAGGAGGGGGAGGTTCCAAGGATTCAAGACAATTATCTTCTACGCTTCAACAACTTCAAGCAATGCTTCAGAACTTTAGTTCAACAATTGAAGCATTACAGACCAGGTAATAAGACTAGCAATTCACTAGAATCAACCACATTTAATAACTTCTTTAAGAAATATATGACTTAATCAAGTCTATACACTTCTTCTACTTACTTACTATCCATTTTTGAATGATTTCCAGGTTCACACATTTCCAGTGTGACATTTGGGAATCAACCACATTTAATAACTTCTTTAATAAATATATGACTTAATCAAGTCAATACACTTCTTCTACTTACTTACTATCCATGTTTGAATGATTTTCAGGTTCACACATTTCCAGTGTGACATTTGGGAATCAACAACGTTTAATAACTTCTTTAAGAAATATATGAATTAATGAAGTCAATACACTTCTTCTACTTACTTACTTACTATCCATGTTTGAATGATTTTCAGGTTCACACATTACCAGTGTGACATTTGGGAATCATTTCCTGGTTGCTGAAAAATAAACCATTATGTGTATCACTGAGATATTTGAAATCCTGATTACATTCTGATTCTTCATTTGAGAATGAGTTTGAACACATCAAAATAACATTCTGCTGATTAAATCATTTTCTCAATGAAAACCAATGCTGTTTTTTTTTTGTTGCAAATCCTGGAAATGATTTCCGAATATCACATTTGAACCCTTTGTGTTTTACAGTGTAGTCTCCTTGAATAATAAAGTTGACAACTCTAACCAGAGAGTAAGAACTGGTCAAAGGTAATATCTTTTACCTATTAACTTTAAAAAATTCTAACTTTTAAGTGTCAATTTAGACCAATTATTAGAAACATCTCAAACCATGTTGATCCTGAAATTTTCACCCCAAACCATGTTCTCATTAGAACTTATCTGTTTAGAAGTCAAGATGAGTATGATAACTCAGCCAACAAAGATGATTTGAGATATGTAACCTACATGTTGGAGAGCTTAACAACACAATACAGAGTAATTATTTCTTACAAGTACTTTAAAAAAGATTTTAAAATTTAATTTGATTTGAATAATTAAGGGATCTTTGAAGGACAGCAGAGAATATCATCTCCCAAGAGATTGCACAGATATAGGGTAAGTAGATTGAAAAAACATACTTTTTTGTGTTAAAAACAATGAGTTTAATTTTTCTACAAGAAAAATGGCAACAAAAATAAAACGTTTTATAGGATATCTGGAATACACAAGATTCAACCTGACAGGACCTCTAGCCCAATCTTTGTATATTGTTATGCTGATTTGGATGGCGGCTGGACGGTAATCAAATCATTATATTGATTAGTTAAAGATAAAAAAGGAAGACGCCAAAGTAAAACCAAAAATGAGGCAAAAATGTGCAATTATTAGTCAGAACAATCTTTCTTAGGATGTGCTAAGAAGGACAATCTCTGGAACTGCTTCAAATAGATTAATTGCATCATTTTCCATGACAAAAAAATTATGATTTTAATCAGTAATCAAATGTAATATTCTGAAGGTTATTCAGCAAAGGAATGGAGGCTATATTGATTTCCATAGAAAAGATATTGATGACTACAGGTATATATATCTATTATACTAGTCCAATTGATTTTTACCATTCTGAAGTTAATTTGTGGTATGAGGTAAAAAAATAGAGTTTTAAAGACGCCTTGCATATATTTCAATTGTGAATATTTTCTTTCTGAAAATATAGTAAATCAAATTTTGTTGGAGGCAAAGTTTTAAATTTTGATCATCCATAAACCCTAGCTGGGGTCACATGATGTCCCATACAAAATTTGGGCCAGATCAGTTTAGCTGTTTTGACAGTTATTGGATACAAACAGACAGACAAATATATAAATATTTAATATATATTCAATTATCAAAACTTAGCTACCATAGGAACTTTTGAATGGACAGAAATAATAAAAAAAGAGCAAGTCAAACCAAAAGATTTGAGGATCTACTGATTTGCTTATGGATTAAATTCACCAAGATTCATCTGTCTCATTTAAAAGTTCCCAGCTCTGGATTGTCCTAGAATGGGATTTGGAAATGTTGCAAGTGAATACTGGATTGGGCTTGATAGGTAACCATTAAAATGCAAAGTTCCTAAATATTATCTCTTTGGTTGTGTGCTACATTTGAAAAATAAATTTATTATTTGAAATTTATAGTTAAAGATGATTAATAACTTAAGAAGAAAATGGGCCATTATTATCTTGAACCAATTATTAACCAAATGAAACAAATTTGGAAACATCATAAATATCTAATATCATTAAATAAAAATATAAATATTTTAGATTACATTTCTTGACAGCAGAGTCTGAGGATATATTTGAACTAAGGATTGAGATCACAGATTTTAAAAATAAGACTGCTGTAGCTAGGTAGGAATATAATAATATTTTTTTATATTATCTTATTGATTTCTGTTTTGAGTTAATTTGACTAAATTCTCACATTTTTGGTATTTGAACAAGAAAGTTTTTTTTTCTTCAGTTACAGTCTTTTTGCCATTTCTGGTAGATCCCAGGGGTATCAAATAACTCTTCTAGGTGGATATTCTGGAACAGCAGGTATATTCAATAATTGAATAAATTTAACATCCAGGGGTATCTGCTATCTATTTCAAAAAGCTTTTACCATTTTCTGCAATTGAATCATGAACAATATGGAACTGCAGAATAAATTGATCTTGTTATTCCCAAACTTGCTCTCTTATCAAGTATGGAAGAATCCAATGCTACTGCAGTCACTTTTATTTTTTATTCCTTCTCTAACCCCATCTTAGTCTAATAATAGCCCAGGGATGAGCACTAATGAATAAATTAGTTAATAAGGGTCTTCAAGTCCATTTCATGGAAAATAGAGTTCAAAATTTGTTCAAATTATGAACAGGAAACAATTTAGGAGACTCATTGACTGCTAGTCAGGGTGAGAATTTCAACATAGGATTCCCACAATCAGCAGTTGATCAGCAGTGCAATGAGGATGAAATGCAAGAGGTTAGTTTAATGGCTTCATTAATCTCCTTATTATTATTAAGAAAAGCCAATGAAAGAGAAATTAGAATTTTAAGACAGTGAGAAGACACTTGAAAAGTAAAAAAACTTAGTTTAAAAAAAATATTAAAAAAGTAACATAACCTTATAATAGACAAACTCAATTCAGTTAACTTAGTGCCACAAAAAGTTGTCCAAAACCCAATTTTACGTAACCTTCAAGTAATCAGAAGCAAGCAGAGAAATAAACATTTGGTATAAACCTTCTTTTTAATGGTTTTGGGGACTTTTTCAAATTCCTACTAACAGATTTAATGTCTTTTTAATTCCCAACACATTATTATAATATGGATTCCTGTAACAGATATAAAGACATAAGAACATATATATAACATAAGAAAAGCTGACAGTCCCAGAGAAGTGTGTCTCTCATCCACAATAAATTGTGTTGTGCAAACTCAAAGGTTTAATATGAGTCAGATATTAGACAAGAATCTGGCAAAAAAACTGTTAATCTAGATTGGAGGCTGGTGGTTTCCAACATCACGCTGTCCTAATACAGGCTCTAATCTTAACGGAAGGTATTATAATCTTAGGGAGACCATTCTTTGAAAGTTTGCAAAATATTGAATCTAATGTTAGAGTGACAGTCAATTGTGCACCAATATTTTCTTCAACCAAAAATTGTGCATTTTTTCACTTCCTTGCACGAATTTTCACATTTGGAGCAGAATCCTGCATATACCTGTTCCGCACCAACAATCATGGGTAAATTATAGCGCAGAGTAAACTGTGACATCTCTGTAACTGATACTTAATTAAGGTTTGATTGGTACCTTCATGAATCAGACATGTAACTGAAAATAAATGGATCAAGGATCACTTGAAGTTACATAAACAATCTGTTAAGGGATAGATAAAAAAACAATTCAACTTTAATATTCATAGTTTCCAAATTTCAGATACCTAGCAGAGCAAGAATCTTCAAAAAGTGAAGCATCAGGTTAACATTAAATATATTAAATAATTTTTTTTTAATTCTTACATTTTTAATTAACATTAAAAACTTGAAAAGACTTCTTCAATGAATGAAATTATAAAACTTAATTAAACAAAAAACCTTTGAAAACTTCAGCTTAGAAGGTATAAACTATATAAAAAAGTTGTTTTATTAACATTTTTCATTAAAACGAAAATACAATATTAAAATATTCTGTTTGAACAGGGAGCTTAACTTTTATTTCCAAGAAAAAATGCTGTTACTCAAAAACCTTTTAATAAAATTAGAGAAATATACAGAACTTCATTCTATACAAGTTTTATACAAACATTTAAGTATAATGTACTGCTAATCTGTTTGATAACAAAACTAGACATGCCATTGTTAGCAAAACGTTTGGTCAAAACCCAGTGAAAATTATAGAAATTGTTTTGAAAATCAAAATTACAGATTATCTTTCATGAGAAATATTCTTCTTATAAATTTGAATGGTATTCTTTTCTGAAAAGGATAATATTTAAATCTTTGTTAAAACCAGGCATTTCAGGGAAGAAAAGTTCCAACCCGTTTTCAATACCAGAATTGATTTACAATAATGGTTTTATTTGACAGGAATATTCTGGACTGGTTTCCATGGAGCTGAATACTCCCTTGATAGAACTAGAATGATGATTAGACCTAAGAAACTACGCTGAAATTTTATCATTATCCCATCCATAGGCTGAAATTACAAGACTTTAAACTGCGTTGCTATACTGCCAAAAACTGGTTCCAATTGAGCGCCAGCTCAAATCTCGAAACACTGAAAACTATTTCAAACCAAACAGTTTGAACCAAACATGTTTGAGGCGCATCTCCAATTTGGCCTTATATTGATTATACAATGTTTTAGGTTTCTTGTTTTATTTCAATTTCAGAAAATAAAAAAATACAAACCAACAATTGTTCAGACTCAATTAACATAATTTTTTTATTCTAAATTATCATTTTCAGTGATTGGTAAGTTCTGAATATTTGATTGTTAGGCAATTTTTTGAAAGGGGAAAACATGATATAATGCTATTGAGGGAAATAAAATATTTAAAAAAAAATACCTCTCAAATCTCGGATATATTTAAATGCTAGCAGAGATTCCAGGCATTGCCAGTGGAATTAAAAAAAATTTTAAGACAAAAAAAAAAAAATTCTTTTTTTTAGAAACCTAAGTTACCACCTGGGCACCCATGGGTTCCTTCAAAAAATATCAACCCATTTGGTGTAGTCGTTTGGCCAGCTTTAGCTAACATATAAATATATATATATATATACATATATAAATATTATATATTTTACCTATCTTGACCCCTCGTTGCCAGGAGAATTTGACCAGCCTAGCTTTAATATGTATTCTATCCTCAGGCATAGTTTGGTCTAAAACTCGGCCTTAAAAAAAAGGAAATCGGAACACATTTTTAAATATGAACATTGAACAATCGTCAATCATGTACCCATTAATCGTTATTTATGAACTATAAAAATGTGCGCATATTGCAGAATGCACGATGCACATGTTACTAAAGAACTTATTACTGTATTCATGAATGTTTCTTTTTTAGGGGAGAAAAAGTCTGAAAGTTAAAAATACTTCAAAGAGCTTTAACCCATCCAAAACCAAGTTGTATAAATTCAAAGGGCAAAATGTTTAAATATAATGGCTGTTGACTGTTAGTGTTCAACCTCAGACATTGGATCCCTCAGGAATGAAAAACTTGTCGGAATTTTTTGCGTAATTAACCCTCTCTGTATAGGTTTTTATTTTCGAGGTCAATTGCTGAAGAGAAGCGCTACAACATACAAAAGTTTCACCCATAGGTAGTTTTTTTATGGTTTAAAATTCTACCTATAGCTTGTTGTTGATGTTTCTGTTCTTCTCGTTCACTCTCAAAGCATTCTATACTTTTCTTTACTCGCTCTCTCCATGGTAAATTACCTAAAAATTCACTTATCGTAATCATAATAAAAATAATAATTCTAATAATTCTAATGATAATAATAATAATAATAATAATAATAATAATAATAATAATAATAATAATAATAATAATAATAATTATAATAATCCTAATGATAACAATAATAATATCATAATAGAAATGTTGGTAATGAATAAAAGTAAATGATAAAAATGAAGCATTTGATAAGTAAATACTTACAATCTACCCCACTCCAGCTGCGAGCTTGAAAAAGGAAATTTTTATATATATATACTGAGTTTTTTACCTTAATTTCAACAATATTTTATTGATAATTAGATGCAAATATTTTGACATTTCTATTTTTCCAATCCAAATTTTGACATAAAATTGACCAATTTCACTGTAAAACTTCCAGGAAGGGGGGGGGGGGGGCGGGGATAAAAATTCATAACTGTTCAATTATTTACCTCCCCCCCCCACTGGAAACTATCATAAGCCTCAGGAATTTGTCCAAGGGGGGCTTAATTTTTTTTCTCTTTCCAGGGAGGGGGGCTCAGCACCCGTTGGGGCCTGAAACACCCTGAAATCAAGATTTCACTGGTCCAGGGGGGGCTTAGCCCCCATAGCCCCCCCTGAATGCGCCTCTGATAAGCTTGTCAGCAGGGGTAAGAAACCGTTTTAAAGAAGCAAAACTGTATTTCACTTGGAATTCTAATAGATGCATTTAAAATGCATTTTTCATAAAAATCATAATCGTCTCAAATGGCCGGGTTTATATAGTTGAAAATTATTGAAAACTGTATGAGTTTGGTGAAAAAATCTCCAATTTTTTTTACATGAATGAAAATTATTCAGAGAATATGTCGAATTCAATTCAATGTAATCATAGAAAAGTTTATATTTCATAATATTCGTAGTTTAAAGTAAAAATATAGTACATAGTACAAATATAGTACATAGTACAAATAAAGTACATAGTACAAATAACAAATATTATGAAATATCCACTTTTTACGAATTTGTATTGCATTTAAATCGACATATACAGGTTGTAATAACTAAATATACAGGTTGTAATATCTAAATATACAGGTTGTAATATCTAAATATACAGGTTGTAATATCTAAATATACAGGTTGTAATATCTAAATATCTAAATATACAGGTTGTAATATCTAAATATACAGGTTGTAATATCTAAATATACAGGTTGTAATATCTAAATATACAGGTTGTAATATCTAAATGATTAATTTTAAATTTTTGATTTGAGTGGAATAATGCAACTCTGTGAATTGACACTACAATCAGGCGCGTAGTGGGGGCGGGTCGGTACTCCTGTGCCCCCCCTAGACATGCACCCCAAGCCCCCCCTAGAGCCAGAGGCAGGCTCTAATTTATTATACAGTAAACCTACATATATATTCAGATTTTTACTTTTCTTATTGATCGACAATGTCACAATTTGTCTATTTTATGATTATTTCTCAAATTCGTTCTTGTACCTAAATCTTATTTACAATATTTTTTTCTTAATACCAGTTTTTTAGGGGGGTGCACAAAAAAGTGCACCCCCCATAGGCTAAACCTGCACTACGCGCTTGACTACACTCTTTAGGTTTAGGACGTTTTCAAACATTTCTCCTTATAGACGCAACTAATAGATCGATATCGAATTCAATCCACATCAGCCTATACCCCCTTTCATTTTTCGCGAACAATTTTTTTTAACTTAACAAGAGATTTAACATGTAATTGTGATGTACTTCTACTAGCTGTACAGTGTACAGTACATTGAAGTACTAGTATATACTGAGCATAAAAGAGCCCTGTTCGTAAAGTTAAAATGTAGTGAACTAACTCACCGAAAGCTGGAACTCTGACTGAAAGATCTGAAGCATCTAGTTCATCACCCTGCAGGCTTCGTCGGCCTTCGCTTCGTCGTCTTCGTCTATATCAATCAGTCAAACAATCATCAATCAATCAATCAGACTTTTAGTGAAGGCATTATGACAACATCGCAATCCCACAATGACTATACATTAAGAATTAATAATTTGCAAATGAAGCTGCTAAGGGCTTTTGTGAGAAATTTGATACAAGGAGTTAACAATTTACAAACAATCAATCAATCGAAAAATCTAATATTAATCATTCAATCAAATACAAGAGTGTTAATAACCATGTATCTCTTCATTACAGAGAGGCAATAGGGATGCAATAAATATAGAAGGGAATATTACATTGTTTGGTCCTAAAGCATATGCATTTCATGGTAGCAATCAGGGATTCAATACCTTAGCATCGCAACCACCTGTGAAGGGAATCATGGGTCAGTAATGTTGGTTGAAAGGTGGATAAGTAGTAATTTAAACAACGTGCATATTATTATGCTGGGGTCAAATCAAACGGGGAGGGGGGAGGGCTACCTAGATAAAAACTATATAAATACATGGGGGTTTAAACGAGGGTTTCCATTGAACGAAACGTTTTGCGAATAAATGCAAAAATTTTCGTTCACACTTTGCAATTTTGTGAAAAAGGGAAAATTTTTGCATTTTTCCCGAGAGAACGAAATGCGAAAATGAAGCAGAATAGTCTCTAAAACTTTTTTCGCGAAATGATTTTTCTTTTTCGCTGGAAACCCTAGTTTAAACTTTAAAAGGGGAAAACAGAAATACTACGGGGCATTGCAATATCAACCAAGTAAAATATAATTAGTTGTTCCTATCAGTGTTATTAAAATCAATAAAAAAACACCAATTCAACATTGATCCAACATAACTAATGAATTGATGAATATACTACTCACATTGTTCCCATCGGACTCTGAGGTACTGGACTGATGGGACTTTGAGGCGGAGGCATGGCAATTCTGTCCGGGTCAATCTTAGCAAAAAACAGATCTTCTTATTACATTTTATAAAAAACGTTTCTAGAATATTTTTGATTGGATTTATTGTACGAAACCACTTATCAAACTGTTTACACTAGGCTTTAGGGCCCCGTGTTTTTTTCCAGGTATATTCCAGATTTTTTTCCTCCACTATTATGAAATTAATCTGTTTTTATTGAGTTGGATTTTAAAAATTTCGAAATAACAAAATTTCTTGAGGTTTTTTAAATTTTACCTTTCCTGGACCAAAAAAAAGGGACAAAAGGGACTGCATACTTAAATTCAAGTGATCTTCTGTTTACAAGAAAGGAATACCCGATTAACAACGGTACACGTAAAAACTTCAACTGATAAATGGAAACATATGTTTTTTTTAGATTGGATTTTTTTTCTGATAATGCTTCCATTTTTCCTAAAGCAGGAAATGCCATGTAACTTTAAATGTAAAACCACAAATAAAAATTATCAGTTATCTAAAAACAAAAAATGGATATCTAATTCATCAAACAATACTTTAAATGGTATAGTTGTGAATCGGACATCGATCAATGGAGGGTCACTCATATCATTATTAACCATCATTAACTTAACAATCACCTCGTTTAGTTTTCTGTGTAACTGGTCCTCTCTAGACATCGATCTGTGGGGGGACGCACATCGAGAACCAGATCTAGGATATATAAATATTCTGTAGAGGGGGGAGGGGGCGGGCGCACATATAGAACTATATTTTAAATTTTAATTAGAACTATATCTAGAACTATATCTAGAACTATATCTAGAACTATATCTAAAACTATATCTAGAACTATATCTAAAACTATATCTAGAACTATATCTAGAACTGTGTCTATAACTATATCTAGAATATCTAGAACTATATCTAGAACTGTATCTATAACTGTATCTAGAACTATAACTAGAACTTTATCTAGAACAGTATCTAAAACTATATCTAGAACTGTATATAAAACTATATCTAGAACTCTATCTAGAACAGTATCTAGAAAACTATAGCTATAACTATATCCTAAATTTAACTTTAAAATTTGTTTTTTCATCGTTAGTTTCTAGATAATTAGATTTCTGTTGTCTAAGGCTTACAAGAAAACTAATTGGACTGATTTTCTTAATTCTTTGTTAATTGATAAATGACGATAACTCCCTCAAACTTTTCAAAAGGTTTAATCATAGTTCTAGTGCTTCGTGAAATTTCTAATATTTTTAAATTTAATTTCAAAATCCCTGGAATAAGGAAAAGCATAGGGAATAAGGAATTAGTTTAAAGTAATCGACTAATTGAATATTTCGAAAAGGGAAAGTACTTAAACCAATTCCAGTTATTTAATAAATAATTAAAAGAGCAAACTTGATTCTAGAAAGGAAGAAAATATTCATATTTTTATTCATATTTTTGCAACATTTCAAAACAAGAATTATGAAAAAAGACCAAGTACAATTCTAGAGGAACATGGAATTTATCTTTTTCTATTAAGTAGAAATTTGGCAAACTCACGGTGTCCCATTCCCCACAAAAATTGAACCTTTTTTGGTTACACAAAAAAAGTCAGTTTTTGAGAGGTGGTTCAAAGTTCCAAACAAAACGCAATTAATATGATCTCAGGATTGTCAGGAACCACATCTAAGCTTCTTGAACTATAGGCATCCAATCCATGGCAAAAAAAATGTCAAGCTAAACACCTGGTTCCAGTTGGTTAACCCAACAAGACCATCACAACCAGACAATCAGCATTTTATCTTAATATCCAACCAAAAAGATCGAACTTAGAAATAAGGAACAAATTCCTCAGTAACCGTGTAGTCGAAACCTGGAACCAGCTACCAAATAACATCTAAGATACTCCACACCTAAAGCTTTTCAAATCTTTATATGAAAAAACCTGGATGGAGATATAGAAAATTATAAAAACCAGAGAACTCTGCTAAACTTCTACTTAAAGTACCCTGGAGTCACAAACACAAACAAACAAACAAAGGTTTTCAACTAAAATTGTGCATCTCTCTGTTCCTTTTATCTATTTTCAACAAAACATCTTGAGGACATAAGCTTTCATAACATAAAAGAAATTTTAAATATTTGAAAAACTTATTTTAATATTATTTCAATGATAAAAATCAAATATTGAAATAAAAAAATATAATAACAATTATTAAAACATTGATGAATTCAAACATTTTTCTTTCTTTTTACGTTAAACATTTGAATATCATATGAAATGAAGACGATATTGATTCTAACCTTGAGTAAGGTCGGCTTCCTCTGTCACCACGTGGACTAAAATATACAAAATACTTTTTAAATAGAGCGAATTTTATATATATTTTTTTATAAATTGAAGTAATAAAAATGGTCACAAGAGGCAAAATTTAATTTGCAAAAATTAATTTATTTTTTTTCAATTCAGTGAAATATAATAAACAATAAAAATGTTTTTCTCACTCCACGCAAACATACCTAACTTTTGGGGAATATAAATTATTTATTTATTTATATGTATAGGTTAAAAAATTTCGACATTTTCTTTTTCAACAATCTAATTGTTTCAAAATCTATTTTGTTTTCTTCAAATTTTGATTTTAAAAACACCGGGCACTTGAGCTAATATACAATAACACAATCTTGACTTCAGTTTAACTAAACTTGAGCTACAGGGTGCCTCACGAAACATGACAGTTGGTGAATAATTTTAAATGTCTTCTTCCATATGCTGTATTAGATATTTAAGACTTTTTGCAGTTTATTTAGTTTAAACAAACTTTACTCAAATATATTTTACTTAGAAATCAATATGGATGCCATAAATATTTATTATTATTCTCTTTGGCAACAAACAACTTGACATATTATGGAAGCAGACATTTTAACTATTCACCAACTGTCATGTTTCGTGGGGCACCAACTGTACCTGACTGACGGTTTCCTTTCAGGAGTATCTCTCACATCACCAACTACATGATTATGGCATTCTTCAGTCAGGTTCTTGAAATCTAAACAAATCTAAAGGTAAAGGGATTGTAAGCGTAAATTGAAGTGACCCTCCATGCAAAGATGGCAATGCCCAATCTACAACGGTACCCTTTAAAGCTTTGTCTGATCAAGTATGAATTAGACATCAAAGTTTTTGTGTATTTTCTGGTCCAATAAAAACTAAATTTTTTAACATATTTGAATTTTGATAATTTCTAATTTTTTTTCCGATAAAAAAATTAAGAATATATTACCAATAAAATTATTCTTTAGCAGACAAAACCTACTTTAAGGGATTTGACATAAAAACGTTTATATTTGGTTCAGCGGTTCTCATGCTATTGAGCTCTTGATCAAGTTAAATAAGATACAGTGATAAAGAGATAACATGAATATTGTAGATAAGGAAGACGATATTAAAGCAATACTGAATTGCATTTGATGCTGTTACAAAGCAAATAGCTGTACTAGTAAGTTATTAAATGACTTATTAAGTAAATAGGCCCACTATTTACATTTCATAATTGCTATGCCTCACTATGGACTATTTCAAGTTGTATCGACATCCTATTCCAGAGTTTTCTGGTTATCTCTGTATACACTGAAAATACTTTGGAAAATCAAAAAGTTTTATTTTTCTCTTCCAAAAATTTTGCGACAGTAAAGTTCCGCATGCTTTATAAATGCTTGTAAAAGGAAAATCTTTACATGGAGATATAAACTAACCTAAGAATTCACACTTAATGACTATGTAGGACTAACTACTAAATATAAACTAACCTAAGAATTCACACTCTGTAAGATATCTAGTATATGTAGGACTAACTACTAAATATAAACTAACCTAAGAATTCAAACTCTGTGAGATATCTAGTATATGTAGGACTAACTACTAAATATAAACTAACCTAAGAATTCACACTCTGTAAGATATCTAGTATATGTAGGACTAACTACCAAATATTTACTAACCTAAGAATTCACACTCTGTGAGATATCTAGTATATGTAGGACTAACTACTAAATATAAACTAACATAAGAATTCACACTCTGTGAGATATCTAGTATATGTAGGACTAACTACCAAATATAAACTAAGATATCTAGTATATGTAGGACTAACTACCAAATATTTACTAACCTAAGAATTCACACTCTGTGAGATATCTAGTATATGTAGGACTGGCGGCGAGGTATAAGAACTCCATCCCTTTGACTGCCCAGTCAGGTCGTAGCCCTCTACCCCTCTCACACCAGGCCAAAACAAACCTAATAATTACATTTCAATATTTTTAAAAAATCTCAAAAAATAAATGAGATATTTAATATGATCTTCCATTTAAGAAAAAACCAACTGCATGGAGAACTGAATACTACCAACTGCAAGATATTTACTAAACCTCATCCATTGCATGGAGAACTGAATACTACCAACTGCAATATATTTACTAACCTCACCCATTGCATGGAGAACTGAATGGTACCAACCGCAATATATTTACTAACCTCATCCATTGCATGGAGAACTGAATACTACCAACTGCAATATATTTACTAACCTCACCCATTGCATGGAGAACTGAATACTACCAACCGCAATATATTTACTAACCTCATCCATTGCATGGAGAACTGAATGGTACCAACCGCAATATATTTACTAACCTCATCCATTGCATGGAGAACGAAATACTACCAACCGCAATATATTTACTAACCTCATCCATTGCATGGAGAACTGAATGGTACCAACCGCAATATATTTACTAACCTCATCCATTGCATGGAGAACTGAATAGTACCAACCGCAAGATCCCTTCTTGAATTATCTCCAGTAATAAGTCTGTCTAGTTCTTTATGATACTCGAATCCAAACTTGTAGCACTAGATAGATTAGTCAATGAATCCAAACTTGTAGCACTAAATAGATTAGTCAATGAATCCAAACTTGTAGCACTAAATAGATTAGTCAATGACTCCAAACTTGTAGCACTAAATAGATTAGTCAATGAATCCAAACTTGTAGCACTAAATAGATTAGTCAATGAATCCAAATTTGTAGCACTAAATAGATTAGTCAATGAATTCAACACTAATAAATAGTGTGAAAAGATCCGCAAGTAAGTTACATTATATCTAATATAAAATGTCTAATAAAAAAATTAAATTGAATTTTCTAAATTCAACATTTTCTTCAGCCTAAACCTCCTTGGTTAACCATGTCAAAAATAAATATGGGTTGAAAAAAGTTTTATTACAGTGGTAGGGGATTACATCAATGCAATGAAGACGACTTTTTAATCAAGATTTAAATGTTGACAAGCTTTTTTTCGAGTTGCAAGTTTACGAGTAATAAATTGACAGCTTCTTTTGACTTCTATGTTTGTGCATCAAGCTTGATATAAATCAAAATTGAAATCAAAAGTCGTCTTCATTGTATTGATATAATCTCCTACCACTATAAATTATTAAACATACGTAAAGAAATATTGTAAAGGAAAAGAATATTTAAATTTTAAACTTTTTTCACTCATTAAAAATCATGATGGAATTCGATTGTTATTAGAATTAGGAATTCTTTAAAAAAATCTTTATTAAAAGAATTTAATAGGAATGGATATATTTTGTTATGCATCTATTTTATCTGAAAATTTATAATATTAGACTAAGATTTCTTCATATAAGTGACTAATGGACGCAAAGAAAATAAAGGAAATTGACAATCTAAAAATGGACAAAATCTTTTTAAATTAAAAAACGTTTTAAAATTTAAAATCACGGCGTCAGTTCCTTCCAAGGGAAGAGATAGAGGAATAAAAAAGGAAAAAAGGAATCAGCTGAATATATGTTGGGGGTGGGGGGGATGTAACTTGATAAGGTAACATCGAATTATAACGGGGGCTTACTTGTAGCTTGGAGAATTCAACAATCAATACCAGGACACTTCTTTTTTTAAGATAACTTTTTTCGTCAATTTTAATGTACTTGGTGTCTTCCCCAAAAAAAATTTCAATTATAATTTAATTTTTACGTTTCATACAACAGAATAGAATAAATTGCACATTTTCAATGATAGCATAGAGGATTTTTTTTAATGAATGACATAAAAAGATGTTAGATTTTTTTTTTGAAAATCTTAAGAATAGGGACCGATTACATTTAGAAGGTTAAAACGGTACTTTTTGAGGAAAACGCTTCAACGATTAACACCCACCCCCCAATTTTAAGAAATATATCTACTAGAAACATTTTTTTAACACAATACGACGATGTTTAGTAGGCTAAAAGCATAAACGCATTTATTGCGTTTATGTCTACCTATTGAGGTAAAAATATTCTGCATAACAGGCAGAATGAGAAATTCATAGTTAAATAAAGTTAGGAAGAAAAGAAGCATATATGGAAAAATTAAAAACATGTATCTATCAACTACTAGACGCTTCAAAATAGTAAATTGTAGAAATATCAAAATAAAAATACCTTTGTTAAAAAAGAAATACCTGTTGAAGAATTTCTCTCATCCTGCGGACCAATGTATCCCTATCCATAGGTTCTAGACTCTCAAGGGAGGAAGTATCACACTAACAATCCAATATATTTAACAAGGAAACACAACAAGGGAATAAAGAATAGGGTGGACCAAAACAAAACAAAACAATATGCACCCTAGTTTTTCTATATTTTACCGTTCACTTAGTCGGAATAAAGCTTTAAATTTAGCATATGTTTATTTATGTCATTATAATTGGTATCATTAATAGTATAAATAGTTTTATTTAATTTTACTCAACTTATCTAATAGCAAATAACTTAATAACCCTACAAAAAGGTGTGAAGTTTAAAACTTTAATAGCATTTCGAAAAATTTACTTTATCGCCCTGTTGAAGGGCAATAAAGTCACTTTATTGCCAGGGAAATATTTAATGTGACAAATTCCCTCAAAATTGAATAATTTTTTTTTGAAGATTTCATTTATTCAATAAACGGATGGGGACTGGGGAGGGTAGTGAATGTAGATAAAGGGTAGAAAAAGGTAGAAGGGCAAGGAAGCATGGAAAATACAGGAACAGTCTTTTTTACACTAGAGAAGCTAAGGGTAGAAGGAATACGGTAAAAGAAAGGAGGGGGGGGGGGGGATATATATTTATCAGTTCCTTTTCTTCAACACTCGATAGTTCTTGACATATTTTAGATCTGAGAGACAGAGCACCTTGTTTTACATCATCCAAACTGTCCGCTATAGCCTACAATACAGAAATACATATATATGGTGTCCGCTATAGCCTACAATATAGAAATATTATATATACAGGGTGTCCGCTATAGCCTACAATATAGAAATATTATATATACAGGGTGTCCGCTATAGCCTACAATATAGAAATATTATATAAACAGGGTGTCCGCTATAGCCTACAATATAGAAATATTATATATACAGGGTGTCCGCTTAAGCCTACAATATAGAAATCTTATATATACAAGGTGTCCGCTTTAGCCTACATTATAGAAATATTATATATACAGGGTGTCCGCTATAGCCTACAATATAGAAATATTATACAACCATGGTGTCCGCTATAGCCTACAATATAGAAATAATATAAATACAGGATGTCCGCTATAGCCTACAATATAGAAATATTATAAATACAGGGTGTCCGCTATAGCCTACAATATAGAAATATTATACAACCATGGTGTCCGCTATAGCCTACAATATAGAAATAACATAAATACAGAGTGTCCGCTATAGCCTACAATATAGAAATCTTATATATACAGGGTGTCCGCTATAGCCTACAATATAGAAATATTATATGTACAGGGTGTCCGCTATAGCCTACAATATAGAAATATGTTAAAAACATACATAAATGTATAGTAAAAATTATGGCCGCCCCTATGTTGACCAAAAAATATTTTTCTTTTCTTTATTAACACAATGATATTTGTTAATCTTGAACGCTAGATTTCGATATCTAATCTGGACACTTTTAATTTGAGGATAAATGCTTAATCCCACATTGCACTGTATGACCACGACGGGATATAAAATAGGATATAAATTTATCTGTAAATCTGCATAAGATGAACGCGGGTTATTGGTATGTTTTAGATTGATAAAAGTCATCAGGATATTGGCAAGAATTTAGAGCAGTTACACTTTTGAACCAAAAACACATTAAGAACAGTTGTGATATTTCTTTTAAGCCACTATGTTCTAGCTTTCACCTACCAACCCGCCAATCTGTTTTATCAAAGAAAGAGTGTAGTGCAGTTTTTAGAGTAATTTAAACAGCTCTTGCAACATTACAATGTTGAAGAACTTGTTAGTAAAGAAGATAAAGTAAATTATTTAACAATAAGTTATGGAACCCACAAAAAAACTGGATTTTGATTGAATTGTGCATTGGAATCTCGCGTTAAAAATATCTTATTTTGTTTTGACAAAAGAGATGAATATGGTGAAATATTGGCATTGTGTAAGCCTATAACCCAAAATATAAACTTTATTTTGATATATTGGATGAAATATGTCAGACAAAGTAAAATATATATATATATATATATATGTAATATTCATGGTCAATGTATAGAATGATAAAATATTATGTACAATTTCAATCTTTCAAAAAAATTATTAACTTTTTATTCCCTGAACATAATTTAAAATGATCTGGAAAAGAAAAATTGGGTCGTTGCCACAAACTCTAATCTTCTAATTTCTATATCTTTGCAACACAATGTCGTAGATCTGGGATATTTAAAACTATGAATTATGTTAGATAAAATAATCAAATTTTGAAATATCAAAGGTTCACAAAGGTTCAGGTATATGGATTAGTAAATTTTAGTTTGAGGCAAAGATACAATTCCTTTACAAAATTATTCTTGATTTAATATTCTATATGATGTTTTCTTTCAAGTTTTTAACCTTGCAAAAAGACTATTAAGACATTTTTGGAAATTCTTTAAAATTTTGGGGAAAAAACAGTTTCAGTGTTTACTCCTATTCCTACTATACTCCTATTCCTACTATACTCCTACTATATTTCTATTCCTACTATACTCCTACTATACTCCTATTCCTACTATACTCCTACTATACTCCTATTCCTAGTACCTGACTAGTAGCTCGTTGTTCCTGTCCTGGAATCAGAACGTCCTGCATACTCTTACTAAACTCCTTCCTCCGAACCTCTAAAAGAACTGCACTTGGAGCCACCAACAGTACTCCGCTAACCTAAATAGTCTGCAGTAAGAAGAGAAGTTGAAATAAACCGAACAAAGATTCAATTATTTTTTTATCACGCCATCTCGGATGAACCAACACCTTTAAGAATCTCATATTAAAGACAACATTTCTCTTTATGAAAATCATGTGCTATGCTGATTGAACTATTGTGGTGAAAACTACTGAATTATATGAAAACTTGATCATTTAAACTACGCATGAGTTTTCTGATGAAGTATTTTAACTAAATTTTAATTAAAAAAAAATATTTCCGGTAGAATCATACCATGGTGCTCATTTGAATTAAATTTTGAACATACGTGTGATATGAATGATATTATATGGTAAATGCTTTTGTTATTGAATTTCAATGAGGCAATAATGTACTTAGGAATTTTAAGATATAGTCATGAAGAAACCAAAGTAAAAAAAGACTTTATAATTTTTATATTCAGAGAATAAAATATAAAATATTTTATCTTAAAATGAAACAAAAAAATTACCTCTATTTGTGAGAGAGATATTGTAGTTTCTGCTGTTGGTTTTACAAACTTAGTCTCACCATGCCAGAGGGGTACATCACTTATACCATGCTCCATCAATACAAGATAGCCATGATTTATATCCTGGATATAACATTAGTTATTAGGAGAAGATATTATATCCTGGATACAACATTAGTTATCAGGAGAAGATATCCATGGTTTATATCCTGGATCTAACATTAGTTATTAGGAGAAGATATCCATGGTTTATATCCTGGATCTAACATTAGTTATTAGGAGAAGATATCCATGGTTCATATCCTGGATATAACATTAGTTATCAGGAGAAGATATCCATGGTTTATATCCTGGATATAATATTATTAATAAGCACAACATATATCCTGGATATAGTTAAGATATAAATGATTTGAGGGAAGAAAACATATAAAGAGATTGATCAAGTTTCTCTGTAATTTTTAGCTGTACAGTGTACAGCTTCGAAAAATATATTTCTAGACGCTGGCCAATACCTGATTAGTTGTATCCTGACCACAGTGCATATCCAGAAGCTGAAGAATATGATCTTCCTGAAAAAGTAGAGGATAAATATGATCCTCATGAACAAGTAGAGAATAAATATGATCCTCCTGAACAAGTAGAGGATAAATATGATCCAACTGAACAAGTAGAGGATAAATATGATCCTACTGAACAAGTAGAGGATAAATATGATTTTAATGAACAACTAGAGGTCAGAGGATAATATGATCTTCCTGAATAAGTAGAGGATAAATATGATCCTACTGAACAAGTATAGAATAAATATGATCCTCCTGAAAACGTAGAGGATAAATGTGATTCTCAAGAACAAGTAAAGGATAAAAATGATCTTCCTGAACAAGTAGAGCATAAATATGATCCTACTGAACAAGTAGAGCATACATATGATCCAACTGAACAAGTAGAGCATAAATATACTCAATCTGAAAAAGTAGAAGATACTGGGTAAATATGATCCTACTGAACAAGTAAAGTATAAATAAGATGCTTGTAAGTAACAAGGTAAACTTGCTTATTTTCAATTACTTAGAAAAATTGTCAAAATTATCAGCAAATTTCAAGCACAGAAAAAAATTCTACCTTAAAATTTGCAAATGCAAAAAGTCGGAATTTTTTTTTAACCATAATCCCCCCCCCCTCTTCTCACACCCTTTTCAGATTAAATTAAATTCAGATTAAAGATACTTTACCTTGTTCTTTATAGAATTAGGAATAAATATTAAATGTTGTCTTGAGTGTGGAGCAATTACCTAAACAACAAAAACAATTTAAAGAATAATATACGGAAATCATTGCTACTGCGACAAAAGTAATGTCAAAAAAGGTTTTTGAAAGAATAAGACTTGTTTTTAAAGAAGATCGTCTACTCTACAGGGTTTGGCCCAAGGAGCATAACATTTATTGTCATTCTAGTGATAAACCCCGTTGGAAATCTCCCAGTGGGGCATTGCATTATGACTTTCAGCTTGTCTAATCTTTTTCTTATGTAAAACTTGTTTAAAACATCTTACGTAAACCAACTTTCAATGAACTTGCTCAACTTACTTGAACATGTCCCGTGTGATGTAATCGGTTTAATACATCTTCTGTAGACCGACTCATACTGAACTCAGCTGATACTTCAAGATCTTTTCGTAAAAGTTTAGCGAAAGATATCGCTTTAACAGACCTTTCCCGAGCCTCTAAAAATCAGGAAATTGTAGGGGGTACTGTAGAGTGTTTTCAATCTACAGTGTGGCTTGACAGATTCACAACGGTACTGTAAAAATTTTACATATCAAGAATGAATGAAATATGTTTTACAGTTGTTCTCTATATTAGTACCTTGCGGATTTATGCGACAGAAGCAATGGAAAAAATTTGACAATTAAAAAATTCTCAAGCTGGGAAAAAAATCTTTCACATCATTGATTGGAGGTTTACTTGTAAAGGATTTAACAGTAGTTGGGGGGGGGGGGGGGGGTTCATAGATATAAATTTGCCCCACAAAGGGTAACTAAATAACCCAACGCATCTCATGCATTTATATAGTCCAGAGTGAAGGTGTTACCGTTGTGAATAGGGCATGGTCCTCTTTAAAGGGAAGTTCATGTAACAATTCCGTAAGTATTTAAATTAAATCAATAAAAGAACTAGTTCTAAAAAACCTGAGAAGAGAGTTTGAAATCCTCTAAAAGCTTCGAGTAAACGTTTTCTAGTTTGCGTATCCAACTCCACCTCGTCATCCTCGGTAAAGCTGTCTGCCAACACGTACATGTTCTACAAATATACAATTACTTGTACTACAAATATTCACGTACATATGTATAACAATGTGTAATAGAAAGACGACTTTTAGACTCGTGTAATGAATTTAAAAAATAGTCCAATGGTGCACAAATTATAAAAAACAGAGCTAGAAAATTTAGAGTGGTAAATATCGAGATTAATGCTTAATTTTTTTTTTGCTAATTTCCACAATAATTTAGTCTGTAGATTAATTTTTAGGGATTAAAGATGCGCTCTTTAACTTTTGAAAAATTGGTTTTCAATTTTCCCGCATTTGTGGTGTCATATCAATTGGATCGATTAAGCGAACGTAAGTTTTGAATTAATGTTTATTAAGACTAACGTTTAAAAGGACTATAGTCCTCAAATGTGATAAAATATGTTTTTTAATAAGATCATATTAACATGATTAAGTTTATATTTGTTTAAATGCTCTAAAAGCCGGCTTGTGAACAGCTGACTTTAGTTCAATCGGATATTAGTCCATCAATTAATATAGCATCACATCTGTATTTGTAAAAAGAGAGGAAAGCATTCATTTGATATCAAAAATTCTTAAGTTTTCAGCTTTGAAAACCTTCTATATTTCAAACCCGGTCAAATATTCAAAATCTAAAAATTCAGAGGACTACAACATCTGGTTTCAAAAATATATATTCACTAGAAAATTAGAGATTGAGGCAAGTTTTTAGCTCCTTAATAAGATTTGATCCAAGTTTTCCACCAGTCATAGGACCTTACTTTCATAGTTTCATCTATTCCACTTTGGAGGAAATCTTCTATAGCAGACAGCATGCCACGCGCCATCTAAAATATAAAGTAAAATAAAATCATAGAACAAAAAAGGGTTACTCTAATTATGTTTAACAGTTATTTTTGGTTTGCATTGCTATCAAGTTTTTGGACAGACCTTTTCTCTGTATCGAGATGGTTTTAACTTTTTAGATTTTATTTTGTAAAAATAATGCATTTAAGCGTAATACCTTGCAATGATGATTCAAAAGGATGCGACTTAAATGACGACCTGAAACTCTATGATTCTAACCAAGTAAAAATGCAATCTGACATTTGGTGTTAACTTTTTTAACTTACTAAATGCTTTGCCCACTAGAATGAAAAATGTTTAAAGCTATTTCGAACCCTCAATGTACAAAAATAGATTTTTTTTTAAATTCTTAATGTCGTCTCTTGAAGTCTCATCCTTGTGAGTAATTCGATTCGATCTATAGAGTATAAGTATCAAATTTCTAAGTTTACTAGAGAAAGATATTGTAAATAACATGGAAAAATGTAATTTGATCATTTCGATTTTTTCTATTTTTTTGAAACAACAATCACAGAAAAGTCATAGTCCTCCCATTTTCCAAGTGTGGTCTGCCATTTTGTACTTTCATCACTTTACAAAATCATTCATATTTCCTAGGAACGATTTGGTTCATAATTAGACATTTTCATGTTTTTACTTAATTAAATGAAATTTAGACACAATTCTTAATATCTCTGGTATTTTTTAGAGCAAAATAGTAGCAGACCACATTTTGGAAATGGCATTAATAAAAAATACGGCTAAAATCAGGTTACTTATAATAAATGCCGGAAGCTATTTCTAAGGTCAAAGAGGACTTTGAAGTCATCAATCAGTTCATATTATTCCGGGTTATTTATAATATCACTATAGAGTTTAAATGTACCAGAGCTGAAAACTTTAGAATGGCATATCCTTAATCCCGATCTGGAGATTAATAAAAAGAGGAGAACAAGCATTATTTAATCTGAAGATTAAGAAAAAGAGTGGATCAAGCATTAATCCCGATATCCACCATTCAAAATTTCCCAGCTCAGGTTCTTCAGAACTATATTTTTTAAATAAAAACTTGATTGAAGATCAAACAAATTGGCAACGATAGAAACTTAAGGTTAAGAAAAGAAAAGATAAAAAAGTTTTTAAATTTCTTTGAAACATCATTAACAACAACAAAAGATTTATAGATTAATTTAAACTGCACAAAACCCTATTATATTATTACAAAAGTACAATAATATAATAAAATTTTCGACACTCCTCGTATACAAGAAAAATAAAAAAGTATTTTTGTTGGCAAGTCTTACATAAAGCATTGCATGATCAGATCATTAAACCTCTAATATAACTAATACAAATAATAAACGTATAATTGATTATTCAACATCTATTAACTATAAACCTCTAATGTTATATATCTAATATAAATAATAAACTAATAATTGATTATTTAACATCTATTAACTATAAAAAGAGTCCGAAAATGAGGAATGAGTAAAAAAAGAATTTAATCTATAAATATATATGCTTTGTTTGTTTGGGTGTTTATTTGTATGTTTGTGTCAAAAAACGTAAAAACGGCTAGACCAATTGGGCCCAAATTTTTTGTGGGACCTCCCATGTTTTGTTTTAGTATTACAATGTACACAAAGAGAAAATGTATATATATATGTATATTTCCTAGGATGATGGTTGAATTGACAGAATCATGGGATACATATTTAAATTTACAATTTAACAGTTTAAAAACACACTGTTGAATTTAGACTGCAGGGCAGGGCAACCACACAAAGCAATAACTGACGGGCGCAGACAACCACACAAACTAATATCTGAAGGGCACGGGCAACCACACAAAGCAATAACTGACGGGCGCAGACAACCACACAAACTAATAACTGACGGGCACGGGCAACCACACAAACTAATAACTGACGGGCACAGACAACCACACAAACTAATAACTGACAGGCACGGGCAACCACACAAACTAATAACTGACGGGCACAGACAATCCCACAAAATGAAGATTGTTTTTGAAATAGTTCGTAGTTTCTTCATTGCGAGAAACGTAGAAACGGATTTTTTTTCTCGTTTTTTACAGTTCAGAACGGGTGGTTCGTTTTCAAAAACGAAACGATCGTTCTTAGAAAAAACGATAATCTTTTTTGATCTTTTTAAAAAAAGATTACCAACCCTGGTTCTTTATTCTATATATAAATGTTAAAAAATGGTGATTAAAATAAACCTGACAAAAGGTGTTTCCAGCTCTAGCCTCCCCACCAGGTACATGAGGACACGTGGATTTTATAAAATCCCACTCCTTTAACAATATTATCAAGCCTTTCATTTATTCATTTCATTCTGTTATCATTCATTGTTTATTAAATTCAACACTGATTATACATTCTTTTAATTTGTTCATCTATTATTCATTGTTTATTAATATCATTCATTGATTTTTCATTAATTCCATTCCATTCATTTATTATTTATTATTCATTAGTTTCATTCATTGATTATTAATTAGCTTCATTCACTAATTATTCATGATTCTCCTTCATTCATTCATTTTTTCAAATATCATTCATTTATTATTCATTAATTTCATTCATTGATTTTTCACTACTTTCATTTTCTTATTTTTCATTAATTTCATTCGTTGATTATTCATCAATTTCATTCACTAACTGTTCATTAATTTCATTAATTCAATATTCATTTTCTTCATTCATTGCTATTCATTAATCTTTTTATTTGTTATTTTCATCATTCATTAATTTCATTTATTGATTATTCATTGATTATTCATAAATATAATAAATTCATTGATCATAAATTTCATTCGCCGATTATTCATTAATTTTATTCATGAATTGTTTATTAATTTCATTAATTCCTATTTCAACCCAATATACTTTTTAATGCGTATCTTTTTAATCTCGAAATAATCGGATACCATTCCCACTTTGCACAATGCTCAGGTTTTTTTATTTAAAAATGGCGAAAATATTTGGTCGACAGCTCTTAAATCCTATTAGTTTTAAAAACGTGTGAAGTTGAAGTAATTTTTTTTATGCAATTATCATGTTATACAACAAATTGTTCGTTTTTGATCAAGGAACTCAGATCTGTTGGAATAAAAAAAATATTAAAAACAAATGAGTTAGACCCAACAAAACGTCAAAAAAGCTCGTTTTCAAGAAAGTACATTTTTTGTAGTTTTTGTTTTGGATATTTGGAAATTTTTTTCGAAAAAGAGTTCCCTGATCAGAAACAAAGAAAATGATATATCAAATGATAAATTAAATATTATTTTTTGGAGCTTTATAGAGATTTTTTTTATCTTCAGTAACGTTTTTATATTATATTTAGAGATATGGAGCTAAAAAGTTGGATGAGTACTCAAGGTACAAAAAAAAGGGAAAAACTACCGCGCGCATCTATTTTTAAAAATCGGTCCTCCGTGGACACTTTAATACTTATGTAATTTACTCCAAACTCCAGCTCTACGAATTCTTGTTTTAACCATCCACAACCCCCCCCCCCTCCAGTGCTTCGGATTCGGATCCGCAAAAATATCCGAATCCATGATGTACAAAATGTTAAGAAAAAACTGCCAACAAAAACAAAATCTGAACTGTTGAACAAAAGAGATATTAAAAAATTTCCTTATCTCTTTTTGGTTTCATCAAGTTTATACATAAAATTAACCAATAAAAGAAGAATTTTTGTTGAAAATCTTATTCTGTTGAAAAAATCGGTAAATATTACAGGGATCCGAATACACTTTTTTTCAGTGCGGATCCAGATCTGGATCCGCATCAAAATGAAATGGATCCTAAGCACTGCCCCCCCCCCCTTTCTCCAATCCTATTGAACAATCCCACCTCCCCCTACCCCTTTTACATTCCCCTAACCTTCTATCTCCCCCTTTTCCTTCCCTTCCTCTACCTGTTCCAGCAAGTTCTTCTGATATGTTGAGATAAGCAAAGAGGAGTCTCCTTGAATCATCGTTACAAAGTTCCTAAACAATTGATCCTTATCATACAGGGTGACCCAATAAACATGGGAATTTAGTAGCGACTTCAAACACTACGGAAACTGACTCAAAAGTGACTTTGGGTCAGTTTCCTTCTTTTTTCAAGAAATATCGGAAATCCCTCAAAAACTAAAAAGTGTTGAGCGGTTTCTGAATATTTTTGATCCATTTCCGCTATATTTACATTTGATTTGTTTCCTGTTTTTTTATCGGTTTCCGCATTTTTTTGGGTCAGTTTCTGGTTTTCACAAAAATTTTTAAATTCTCATTTTGTTGAACTGTTTCCTCTTTTTTTCGACCCGTTTCCTGATTTCTTGGGTCCGTTTCAGAATAGCTTGGTTTCAAAATCGAACCAACCTAAAAGACACTGGTCTGATAGGGTGTCCCACGAAACATGACAGAAGTAAGACGAAATAAAGTTTGGCGTCCTGCTAAGTTATGTTGAGGTATTTTACTTTGCTAGCTCCGGTGTCCGAATTTAATGCAATTCAAGCCACGCGTCTCAAATCCCCCAAAAACCGGTTTTAATTGAGCACTGGCTTAAATCTTGAAAAGATTAATACAAAAATTTAAATGGAACCACCAAAATTTTGCCTCGGGTTTGCCATAGATTATTTATATTGTCCTAGGTGGACTAAATCCCCTCTGATTAATTCTTTTAGTTCATCTATGTTTATAAAGGAAATTCATAAATATTTTAAACGTTCTATACTGTATTGTAATGGAAACATTATGTTTTAGATTGAATTCTACGAAATAAATCTTATTCCATTTCATCAATCAAAACAGAAAACGCCTTAAAAAATTTAATTTTTAAGATATATCTTTGTTTTAAGGTCCGTTTCCGTGTTAGGCGTTTCCATAGCACCATCGTCTTTCTTCCACTCCGCGTTATTTCGTAAAACTATTTATGGTAGTATGTCTGTTAAAACATTTAACAATGAAACCTACTAGTCAGGGGCTTTCCGAAATGTGGTCTACCATGTGGTCTTTACAATTGATGAAAATATGGAGAAATTTGTCCAGATTATAAATTATTAAAAAAAAAAACTAAATTGTCCAAATTATTAATATCTTCGCAAATTTAAAAGATAATAGGAAGAAAACACAAAAAATCTGATTTTTGAAAAACTTTTTGTATTCCTAAAAGATTATTAAATTTCCTCAGTCTCATCCTTTATGGTTAACCCTGAATCTTGGGACGGATCATGCTAATTCTCATTGCATCCAAGTATATAAATAGTTCACTGGATCTAGATCCTCGACAACACAGGGGAATTTTATATGGTCTTTTTATCTTTAATCCCTACAGAAAGGGATTGAAATGAAATTTTGTGAATAGGAATTTTGTAGCTTGATCTTAAAATTTTTGTTGGAAAGATTGTAACACTAAATAGTGGAGCTTAACCTCTATATTTTATATTCTTAGAATAAAATAATCTGATGTTCAAATTAACTAAGTAGATAAGTAGATATAAGGTATTTTTCTAGAAACTCCTAAGTGGTGTTATTATTGACACTGAAATTTTCACTTGTAAATGAATTACGACGGGGACTTAAACCACGGGGAGGGAGGGGATGCCCCCACTGGTAATAAAATGTTACCATTACAATGCTTATGAACTCCATCTAAAAAGCTTAAATCCCCACGTGTATACGTTCTTGGATTAGACAAATTGTGGCTCTAGATTTAGAGTTTCTGAAAGATGTTCATCATACTCCAGCATCTCAGGGACCTACCTGAGATATATTCTCCAGCATCTTAGGGACCTACTTGAGATATATTCTCGAGCATCTCTGGGACCTACTTGAGATATATTCTCCTGCATCTCAGGGACCTACCTGAGATATATTCTCCTGCATCTCAGGGACCTACCTGAGATATATTCTCCAGCCTCTCAGGGATCCTACCTGAGATATTCTCCAGCATCTCAGAGACCTATCTGAGATATATTCTCCTGTATCTCAGGCACAGATCTGAGATATATTCTCCTGCATCTCAGGCACAGATCTGAGATATATTCTCCTGCATCTCAGGGACCTAGCTGAGATATATTCTCCTGCATCTCAGGGACCTGCCTGAGATATATTCTCCAGCCTCTCAGGGACCTACCTGAGATATATTCTCATGCATCTCAGGGACCTAGCTGAGATATATTCTCCTGCATCTCAGGGACCTAGCTGAAATATATTCTCCAGCATCTCAGGGACCTGACTGAGATATATTCTCCAGCATATCAGGGACCTACCTGAGATATATTCTCCTGCATCTCAGGGACCTACCTGAGGTATATTCTCCTGCATTTCAGGAACATACCTGAGATATATTCTCCTGCATCTAAGGGACCTAACTGAGATATATTCTCCTGCATCTCAGGGACCTACCTGAGATATTCTAGATATACGTCTAGTGTTTCTGTCAGATGTTCATCATACTCCTGCATCTCACGGTCAAAGTTCTCAAGGAATGATTTGTCCAACTCAACATCATGGATTCCAGCCTTAAAGGACATATAAGCGTAATTTTAAGTTATCCTTCATGCAAAGATGACAATGCCTGATTCAAGCCTTGAACCTACTCTCTGATAATATCTACTAATAATTCTTACATGTTTTCCCTGCAGTAGACATGCACAAGTCACTTTTGTAGAGACAATATCAGTGTTCCCAATAATTAACATTGTTATCTATCTAATACTAAATAAGAGACAGCTTTTTAGGGTACCGTTGTGAATCTGGCAATGCCTTTTTTGCTACAAGATAATATAATAATAATTGTCCGTAGGTATCAAGGCTAAGCTACAGTCAAAAATAGTTACAAAATTATAAAGATTCTAGAAATTTTATTTGAAAAAATGTCTGAGCCAACCCTGTTCATGAAGGGTTACAACAGTAGCAAATTAGAAATAACATTTGTAAAATAAAAAGAATTAAAAAAATCAAAACTCATTCAGTTATTAACGATTTAATTTGTTGACTATCAAGTATCATATAGGTGTGTCTTGAACCGATGAATAGTGAATACCGCCAATTTGTCAGTTTTTCGATATTTCAAAAATATTCTTCAAAAATTTTATTCATGATCGGAAAGCTGTTTTTTTCGATATTCTGACGAAAAAAATTTCCAAAAAATTGTTTTCGTTTTTAGTTTTCAAGGAATATTAATATATTATTAATAATATTAAAGTATTTCAAGCTGGAAACTTTGATACCATTCTTCATTTATTTTGATTAATTTTTTTTGGCTTACATTAGTGATATGATATACATGGACATTAACCAAACAAAAATCTGAATGAGTTAATAAATCATACAAAAATTGTCATTTTTTAAAATATGTATTTTAGAAAACTTTTTAACTGGTGCAAGTTGGATTTGAGCTTTTTTATCAAAAAAGTACTAAATAGTTTCAGCTTTACATAAAGTTAAAAATTTTAAGCTTAGGGCAAAGGATTTTCAAAGCTCATAGTTTTTCCAACTTTTACCATATTCCCAACAATCAAGACGCTAAGGAGATACCTGAAAAATGAACTAGGCAGATCATGTTCAAAATCTAAATACTTTTCTCCGCCTTCTTCAACTCAAAAGGAAAAATGTAGTAAAATGTTCACCTTAACTCGGCTGATATACTTCTGTCTCTCTCCCACAGCAAGTTTCAGAGCTTCCTTGCATTCTCTCATCAATTGACGGATAGATAACTCAGACGGTTCTAACCAAACCAAACCAAATTAATTTATTTGACGAAATTATAACTAAAAAATTCAGAATATCTAGAACTAAACAAATCAATAAAGCTACATGCTCTTAAGAACAGTACTTTAGAAGTTAAGAATGTAATTTAGTTCTTTCAAAATTCTCAAAACGACTAAGGTTCATTCTCCTTACACTCTCATGTACATTGTAAAAACAAACACACACAAAAACTTAAAGCACAAAATTTTTTTAAAAACGATCCCAAAAAAATGTATCAAGCTAAGCTTTATAAGCTGAACCAAGATGACAAGACAATAAAAAAGGAGCATCAAAGAGTCAAAACCGGACAGTTGTCATTTAGAAAAATTCCAAAACCTATCAAACAAACTAACCTAAACGATAATAATTTTAAAGAGTTTTCATTTGATCTTTTCCTAGAGGTTTTTGCTCCAAGCGGATTATAAGACACTCATGCATTATATCACGAGGAACCCTGGAAAAGAATATTTAAATTAATATTTTATATTTTACTAATTGAGAAATGGAAATATAAAAAAAACAAAAGTTGGATCACGATTAAAAAGTAAAAATACATCTGATTCTAAATATGGTAAATATTATATTTTTTAATCTGTCGTTTAAAAAACTGGGGTTTGATATCTTTTTTATATCCCGGAAATAAGGTATGATTGCTCGGAGCGCCAACAATTTATCTTAGGGTTGATTACGCTACATTGGGGAAAATAACTGATTTCAAAAAGGATAAAAACTTGCCTTTTTAATATCTAACTTCNAAATCATCCCCCAAAATTATACACAAAAAAATATCAAAATTTTGTTTCTTTATAATACAAAATTTCAAAATTCAACTTTTAGAAAAAAGACATGTCAGCAATCAGCATTAAATAAAAAAGAGAAGATATTAACGAAAGAAATCAATATTGCAAAATTCATAGTTTGGAATTTCAACGGTAATAGATTTTAAAAACGCGAGGATGAGAAAATCTGAATTCGAAGGGACTGTAAGTGTAATTACAAGTGACCCCCATGCAAAGTCCACAATGCCCGATTCACAATGGTACCCTAAAAAGCTTTGTCTGACCAAGGAAAAATTATTATCTTCAATTGCAGGTTTCTCTACAAAAGTGACTTGCGAATTTCTACAACAATTAATCTTAGAAATATGATAATTAAAACAGAAAAACGAAAATATCTTCCACATCATTGATCAGATTAAGGTTTTGCCTAAAAGGTCACTTGAGATTACGCTTACAGTCCCTTTAAACCGTGTAATCGCCCCCTGAACTCTAATATTTCTCCTCAAATCTATCTAATTGGAATATTTTGTTATCATTATTGAAATTAGGTGGAAAAAATAATCAAAACAGCCAAGAACTATTTTCCACCTAATTGCTTTATACTTTTACTGTACACTTGTAAACTCGTTCTGTACACAGATACATGTATTTTAGCAATAAACTATATCTATCTATCTACAGAGGCAATAGACACATTGTTGAAAAGTTGAAATTGGTGGTTTTGATACCTGCAGAGGAAAAGATATGTTGCTCTAAAGGAAGGAAGGTTCATTGAAGCAAACTCAGGGTTCCAGCATCCAAACCCTGATCACGTAGATTAATTAAAATAATAGATAGGATACTAGATGTCGTCTTTTAAAGATTTATGTGGGTTATGTTCACAATAACCCTGAGGCAGAAGCCCAAATGAGTTCAGCGTATTTGGCGTAGAGCAAGTTATCTATCTGGTCGAGAGAGTCGAGATCAACTCATAATTTTTTTAGGCTTCAGCCTAGTTATATACCCTTTCATTTTACCTTAACAGTCCCTTTAAGGAGCCTCCGATTTACAATAGGAAAAAGGGAAAACTTTATTCACAAATTCCAAGATAAAAAGAAATTTGCATGAAAGCTCAGCTCTGAAATACGATCTTATTGGCCGATTAAATTCAAACAATCCACCATTTTGAATAATTTCCCACCTGATAGATCCAGGTCGTCTTCACTAGGACAAGGAAGAGAAGAACAGCGCTCCTTAACAAATACAATAATATATTTTTCATCTGCATAAAGTGTGCCCAGAGCTGGAAACTCTTGTACTGTGTATATCGTGATCAATGATAGATCTCGATCTTTTGAAATTCTGCAAAATATAACATTTTTTTCGATTAAACATTAATCCTCAAATTATAAGTGGCCGCTGTGGATATCGGAATATATTGAGTACATAATACAAAAGTTCCCAACTCAGAACATTTTGTGAATATAAATATTACAATTGTATCCGATAATTGAATTGATATGAAAGTTGCAAAACAAAATCCTTTCTAACTGAACAAGAATAGCCGACATTGCACTTCTTGATGATTATCATAGTAGTACATACATTGAGGGGGAACGAGGGAAGTATAGTGAGTAAAGGGGGGTAAAGGTTAATGACTATGTTCTACCTCTAGATGTGGATGATAAGGGGCGGGGAGGAATTGGGGTAAAGGTTAATGACTATGTTCTACCTCTAGATGTGGATGGTAAGGTTGGTATGCTGGCGCAGCTCCTGGATCTTCTAATCCCTGAAATCAGAAAAAAAAGGTTGCTTTTGTATTTGTGTAAATTCTAAGTTGGAAATTTATGAATGCGGTTTAATTCAAACCGAGATTAAGTTTTTGAGCGTCATGAACCCCATGGGATGCCATTTATATATAGACGTAGTAAACTTAGTCATACCTAGTTACTATTTCAACATAAGGTTTTACCCAAGACAAATAGTTTAGTGGTCTCTGCTCTCTGATATAAAGTGGAACAAAGTGTAAAATTTTATTAAACCACATGAAAACGGTAATTGCTGTCTGTATTTGATGTTTAAATAAGCAATTGTTTAATTAATTTAAATACAAATTTAGATCTAAAATAATTATTATTTACATCTACTTTTTAGGAAAGATAAGAATTTTACTTTACTAAGGGTTTCCAAGACCAATTTTGCCAACAAAGCATACAGAGTGTAGCGAGGGATGTTTTTTAAGCACCGCATGGTTCAACACAATTTTAAATTTCCCGAAATGAGTTGTACACAATTTTTTCGTCTTTTGAGATTAAAATGCGCGAATGTGTTCATGAAAACTGCGCAGAGCGGGTTTGTCCTAAGAGACGTTAAGTAAATATAAAATTTGTTCGACCTGTGGTGGTTCTAGAGCAGTTTTAGCTCTATGAAGAGTTCCTCTAATAATCTTATGAAGACCCTGCAGTATTTTTCTGATACCCCGGGTCTTCAGTAGCTTCTCTACATATCTCCTGTAAACATTAAACAACATGTTAGTGATATCTGCAGTATTTTCCTGATACCCCGGGTCTTCAGTAGCTTCTCTAGATATATCCTGTAAACAACAAGTTAGTGATGTCTGCAGTATTTTCCTGATACCCCGGGTCTTCAGTAGCTTCTCTAGATATCTCCTGTAAACAACATGTTAGTGATATTAAAAATGTATTTATTAAAGGGTTTTCTTCATGCCGCTATAAATTTCATAAATTTCATAAATTTCGATTTTTATTTTTTCATCAATTGAATGAAAAAAAATAAACAATCCCTGTGCTATTTCAGTGAGTTGCCACAAAAAAATTGATCCCGAGAAAAATGTATAAATAATTTCGCACCCCTTTTCCTTGCTGCTCAAGAAGACTTTTCTTTCTTTGTTTAGGCCAAATTTCGTCATTTTGACCGGCATTTAACTTTTCCTTTGGTCAAGAGAATTACAACAAAAATGTTGGACCCCATTATGTAAATTTTTTATTTGAAATCTACCTGTAAGGAGATATTTCACCAAAATAACTATCACTCATATGTGAAGAGATGCTGTGCCCACTCTGAGTTGATATTGCAGAATCTTGCCTGAATAACAATTTTATCATGATTTTATTTAATACAAACCTAGAAACCTAGGTTTGCCAGGAGGTTTCTCCCTTAAAGCTAACATATCTAAAACCAAGTTATGAACATTCCCGTGGTTCTTCCGAGTTCTCCAATCAAAATGTGAGTCCAATCGCTCAAATGGTTCCTGGGTTATGATCTAACATCAAAACAGACACACAACCAAAGATTAAAAGATTACTACTTTATATCGGTAGAAGAGTGTCGGAATATAAGTGTGTATAATTCATGTTACCCTAACGCCCGCCAAACCGAACTATTTGAAGAGATGTAATTTTAATGAAAAAATACTCTTCCCTGGGTTACATTGGTAGGTTGCTATTCCTTAGATTAATCTGTAAAATAAAACACGACATTCATATATATGTTGCGTATAGCCGGCCAAACGGCTGGACCGATTGGGCTGACATTTTTTGTGATAGGCAAAAAAATTCGAATTTTTTTTCCCCCTACTTTTTTCCACGGACAACACCGGGCCCTTCAGCTTGTCGTTTGTAAAACCTAACAGTCTACCTTTTCTATAAACAACTTTTTGAAAAACCAAAAGCAATGATAGGTTTTAAACTAGTCTATTACCTAAGTGGTTGCAGCTTGAAATCTGTTGCACTACCAGCTCCAGAATCTGTTGAATTATTAGAATCACTCGGGGAACTAGTAATCACCTCATTACACATCTTAAACCGAACCTAAATAAGAGAATAGGTTAAGGGAAAACAACAATTCGGATCCGGATCTGAAATCCTGGATCCGGATCCGGATCTGCAAAAATATGCGGATCCACGAATACGGATCCAAAGGGTAGAATATTAAACAAAAATTGTAAAAAAAAACTTTTTGAGATCTGATTATCCAAATCTCATCTGAGAGATTCTCAAAAAATGTCCTTATCTCTGGATTCTCAAAAAATGTCCTTATCTCTAAATGTCCCTATCTCTTGATTCTCAAAAAATGTCCTAATCTCTGGATTCTCAAAAAATGTCCTTATCTCTGGATTCTCAAAAAATGTCCTTATCTCTAAATGTCCTTATCTCTGAATTCTCAAAATATATCTCTGGATTCTCAAAAAATGTCATTATCTCTGAATGGTTTGCAGAGTTTTAGCAGAAAAAAGCACAGACAAAATAAAGAAGAATGTTAAGAAAAAAAAACAGTAAAAAATAAAAATCTGAGCGGATCCAGGATCCAGGATCCTGTTGTATCGATTAAGAAAAGTACTAATATCTTTAATAATCCTTATTTTGTTTGATATTGGTGTTGCTCCGTGTAGGCGGATATTTACATAGAGTAATGTGTCTGAGTGGGGGGAATAGATTATGTTTAGAGATGGGCATATTTTTTTTTACGAACAAAATTTTTAATAACGAACGATAGACGAACGGAATTTATCGTTTTGGGAAAAGAAAAAATATCGTTTTTTAAAAACGAACGAAAATGTAACGAACTTAAAAATATAGTTTTTACTGAACGAACGATTTTTTCGTACAAATAATAAAAAATGAACGAACAGTTTTATTGAACTAACAATTTTACTGAATGAACGATTTTACTAAACGATCATTCTGTGAGAAAATGAACGATAATTTTGAGAAAGAAAAAATCATTTTTTTGAACGATTGAAAAAATAGAAAGAAATGGGTCGTTCACGAACGATAAACGAACGAAATAACGTGCACATCTCTAATCATTTTAAGTATTAAGGTTTACTTTCACAGGAGAGGGATGGAGTTGAGTAGGAGTAGGAGTTGAACTAGAAGCAGGAGCAGGAGCAGAAATGACATCAGGTATATCCCCACAAGACGCCTGTTCACGACTAAAATTTAAGTAATTAGAAATAGTTAGTTTCAAATTAATAAACATTATATTTTCAATCTTGCATAGTTTTAAATGTTAAAAAATTCCGTGATCTTTCATTACGTTTTTGACTAAAAAACTTGCTTTTCGGAGTTTCGATCATTTTGTGTCGTACTTGTATGAGTCTCTTAACAAAAAACAACAATTTCTGACTAAGTGTCAGACATTTAACAAGTGATCAATAATCTCTGTTTCTTCGCTATCCACAGTGCAGAGAATATTATACAGAATGAAATTCAGTCGAAAACAAAGTTTAAAGCCACCATTTTCATGAACTTTTATTGTACTTAACACATTTTACACTTTACACGAGGACTTTGACGTTTAAATGATCAATAAAAAATAATAGTTAAATTATGGTAATTTAACAGGTTTATTAAAAGAAGAACTTGTAACGGATATGTCCCGGGATCATACTGTAATATTATGATGTACGGCGTATAATTTATGAACTTGTAACGGATATGTCCCGGGATCATACTGTAATATTATGATGTAGGGCGTATATTTTATGAACTTGTAACGGATATGTCCCGGGTTCATACTGTAATATTATGATGTACGGCATATAATTTATGAACTTGTAACGGATATGTCCCGGGATCATACTGTAATATTATGATGTACGGTGTATAATTTATGAACTTGTAACTGATATGTCCCGGGATCATACTGTAATATTATGATGTACGGCGTATAATTTATGAACTTGTAACGGATATGTCCCAGGATCATACTGTAATATTTTAATATTCGGCGTATAATTTATGAACTTTTTCATAAAATAAACATTTTGAACTCCTTTTCAGGCTGAAAGGGACTCCTCTGTGCCGCTATCCTTCACGATGACATGTTTTAAGTTTAAAAACAGTTTGTTCACCTGGCAGGTTCCTCTGAAGTTTCTGGCTTGAAGGATAGATCAGGCCAGGGTATACTCAGCTTGTGACGGGAACTAATGCCTGGAAGTAAAATTGTATTTTTTAGACTTTTTCTTGTTGTTTTAAAACATTATTAAAGTGTTATTTTAGGGAGAACGGCCGGCAGGGAGGGATAAAAAGACTCCAAAAAAAATCAAGCCTGATGATATAGTGGTACAAATGATGTTATAAGCTTTTCTTTATTAATCATGCAGATGTGCAAAATGGGGGGTAGATGCTGATAAAAGGAAAATTTCCAGTGACAAAATCAAAATATTTTCATTCATAAAATCTTTTAAAGAAAACCAGCATTTTCTTAGTAGCCCTGCATGAGAAAAAGCCAAGTTCGCCTATGAAACTTTACCTTTTATTTCAACAGAAGACATGAACTTTAAAATGAGGTGCGCTTTACTTTAATTTTGTTTTTCATTTCTAATTAATGTTACAAAGACAATGCAGGCATACAGTGTTGATATTTATATTAACTGTCTTTCTTAAAAGCCAATAAATTTAAAGTTAAAAGGGGAATCTGTAATAGTGCCAATCTCTATACTACAACAGTGCCCATCTAGCTCTATCCTATAACTGTGCTTACATCTATCCTATAACAGTGTCCATCTCTATCCTATAACAGTGCCCATCTCTATCCTAAACCAGTGCCCATCTCTATCCTATAACAGTGCTTATCTCTAGCCTACAACAATGCCCATCTCTATCCTATAACATCTCTATCCTATAATAGTGCCATCTCTATCCTATAACAGTGCCCATCTCTATCCTATAACAGTGCCATCTCTATCCTATAACAGTGTCCATCTCTATCCTATAACAGTGCCATCTCTATCCTATAACAGTGAACAGTGCCATCTCTATCCTATAACAGTGCCATCTCTAATCTATAACAGTGTCCATCTCTATCCTATAACAGTGCCATCTCTATCCTATAACAGTGCCATCTCTAATCTATAACAGTGTCCATCTCTATCCTATAACAGTGCCCATCTCTATCCTATAACAGTGCCATCTCTATCATATAACAGTGTCCATATCTATCCTATAACAGTGCCCATCTCTATCCTATAACAGTGCCCATCTCTATCCTATAACAGTGCCATCTCTATCCTATAACAGTGCCATCTCTATCCTATCCTATAACAAAAGGCAGAATTATAAAAATATTAGAAGGAAAAAGGAAACGAACTCAGATCATGATCTGTAAAAAGATAATTTGCAAATATTCACTTTTATAGGGAGTATTCGCGAAAAATGAAAGGGGGTGTAGGCTTAATGCGATAAAAAAGCGCTTTTAATCGCTTCTAATCTTACTTCTATCTGCTGCGTCTATAAGGAGAAAATTGTTAAAAACGACTAATACCGAAGATACAACATACGACTTAGACCGTAAATAAATCTTTTTCATTTCAAACAAATCAAAACATATCATGAAAAATAAACTATATACAAATGTGGCGAAAGATAATCGATGACCATAGGGAGTAATATCTGAATGATTTGTTTGAAATTAAATAGATTTTTTTACGGTCTAAGTCGTATGTTGCATCTTTCTGAATTTGTATGGATACTACCTTCTTCGGTATTAGTCGTTTTTAACAACTTTCTCCTTATAGACACAACAGATAGAAGTAAGATTAGAAGCGATCAAAAGCGCTTTTTTATCGCATTAAGCCTATACCCCCTTTCATTTTTCGCGAACACTCCCTTTAACGAATGTTTTAAGACAAATATTATTTCTTGAGATTGATTTAAATTTTGTTTTTTAATTGAAGGCATTTTTAGAAAACTAGGCTTGCGCTCAACTTCTAAAAAACAAACAAAGATTTTGCAGATTTTATAAAAAAAAATCGTGGATTTTGAAAATTTTCAAAAATTGAATTTTGAAAATTCCCCCGAGGTCCCACAAAAAAATTGGGCCCGATCGGTTAAGCCGTTTTGAAGTTTATTGGATACAAACAAACATCCAGACATGCAAAGTATATAAATCAAATCAAATCAAATATCCTAACATTTTCTCTAAAATAAAGAAATACTTTAAACGAATAGTTTGTTCGAAATGACGAACAAAATATTAAGAAAATCTCAAAAAAAATTTAAAATCGAAACTTCGAAATAAATGTCGATTTTTGCCGGTGTGGATCGCCTCCAATATATTATACTGACCTATAAGGATTTGTCCAAGTATTTCTATCTTCTTGTTAAGTTGAATGGTGAGGTTAAACCACATGCACAACACTTTAACCCTGAATATATTTTTTTATTAAATCAGACCTGGGAACTTTTCTAGCATTAATCTTGAACGCTTGATTTTGATATCCGATGTGGACACTTTTAAAATTGAAGATCAATTCTTGCTCTCTGATTCAAAGATATCCCTGCAGGGTATGACCACTTCAGGATATCGAAGAGAGATTAAACAAATACGCAGTCTTCATTAGATGGAGATTATCAAGAGATTCAACATATTTGCTTTCAGATCATATCTCATTAAAGATTTACTTTTATTAAGTTTGGCATCGTTTCCGTTTCAAAAATTAGTTTACAATTTTACACTGAATGCAAAAACGTTAAACGAAGGCTTCGTTTAACAAAAGTCAAAGACTTTTATTGAACGAAGGCTTTGTTTAATAAAAGTCAAAAACTTTTAATTTGTAGAAAACATTTGTGCCATTAAAAGTAATATCACAGTTTCATTAACAAATTTTTTTTTTGGGGGGGGGATAAAGAATAAATTAAATAAAAATGTTATACAGTATGTCATAGCTGTTTTTTGTTAGCAAATTGAGATATAAGAAATTTGCAGATTTTTTCGTATATATACATATATTTGCACAAAGAAGTTGGATTCAGATTCAGTATCCGGGTAAAATCTTGGATCCTTTTTATGATGAAAATTAGGCGTCCAAATCAGTATTTGATAAGTGACCAGCTGTACATGGTAGAATTTTCAAAATCAACCCTACAATCCCTACAAACCCTACCATCCAAGAAGATTTAAAGAATATGCGCTCTTGCTTGACAATTATACTGTAACCAGTATGAGCTCAATAGATGCTAATTCATTATTATCAGACATATATTTTAACGATACAGTTGTGACTCAGACATTCCAGTCTATAAATGTAGGATCAATTGAGATTACAAGTTCATTAAAGGAACTGTAAATGATATTTAAAAACTAGCCTGGTTTGAAAAGCTTGATCTCCCCAGGATGGATTTGCCAGCACCAGCTGTCTTGATGAAGGGAATAAGAACTCACAGCTTTCTAATTTACTCAATATATTCTCAACCTATAGAAAGAAATATCAATGCTTCAGATTCTTCAGAGATTTCAGTGACTTCTGTAAATTCCTTGTTCCCTGCGGCATTATTTCGAAAACGCAATTTCACCACATGGTGTTCCACATCAAATAAGATCATTTATAGCTTTAAATTGCGATTTTCGGGACTTATCAGAAAATTTAAAAAGAATGAATCTTTTAAAAAATTGTATAAGGATTATCTAAAAATTGGCATGAAGAAAATATTAGGGGGTTTCGAGTATAATGTGCGTATTTTTGGTGTAAAAGCTTGGAGATAATCCAATATGATATGTCACGCTCTATTTATCCAAGCAGTGCTTTAGTTTCGAATGTGGTCTGCATCAAAATAAAATAGATCTTCCAAACCAACTAGTCTTGGTATTTCCAAAATGTGGTCCACAATTTTTTTTATGATAAACTGTTTGTCAGCCATCAACTGTCAGAAATCAAGGCCGATTTCAAATCGTCGCTAAGTTCTCCTGTTTATTGTTACATCCGTTAGATAAATTGACATGCAATGTAATTGTAATAAAAATACACTTTCAAAATTTCTGGAGATTTTATTTTATGTACTAGCTTGGGAACTTAGCTTTGCCTGGAGCTTTCACAATAAAAGCCAACCCACAAAATTTTGAAGTTTTAAGCCAGTTCTACAGTGTTCCCCAGTCAAACTTTGAAGTAAATCGGTCCAGGGGTATATGAGTTAATTGGACAATGAACATCCAAATAAACGGAGATTAATACTTTATCTATGTGAAACATAAACATAGCGTAACGTAAAAATAACGAATTTTGGATTTTTCTTTAAATGCTTAATAAATCTTATAAAAGTTTACAGAACTATACGTGAAAGGTTGTCAAAAAGTTAAATATTTCTGACGAATTTACTAAAATCTAGATTGTAAATAGTTGGAAGTTTCTGACGAATTTACTAATATCTAGATTGAAAATAGTTAGAAGTTAGAAAATGTTTTTTTTTTTTAAATCTAACGGGTGAAAAAATCAGGAAAATATTCACACCTAAAATTGGTTAAATTTTCTCCAGTTTGATCCCCCCTTGAAAAAAAAAATGTTCTACCTGTTGAATTGCAAGATTTGTATTCTGAATTCTATGATGACAAGTAACATCCAAACTATCACAGTATTCATCCTAAAAAGGAAAATAAATCTAATTTTCAAAAAGCTTTTTCATATAGTGTTTTCCAGGGGAGAATATATTTTCTTGAAAAACATTCCCTCCCCATCATTTATTACAAATATGTTTTCACTCAAAAATGAAAATTTTTTAACGTTAAAATATTTTTCCAGGAGTGGGGAGGGAATTTTTGAGGAAAACTTATAAATGAAAAGCCTGTGAGTTTACAACATAACCCTTCCCCCCCACCTACTCCAAAAAAAATGTTATCCTCTCCAAAAAAGTCATCTTTAAAACCAGATCTTTAATTAAACTTGATATTTTGTTATCTAAAGCTTGTTAGTTATCTAATAAATCCAATGAATACAAATTAGTAAATTTAAATTTGAAAATTGAATTTGAAAATTTTAACATTTTTCAAACAAATTTGATTTTAATTTCATTTCATCGAACCAAATCCTACTCTACAAAGAGAAGATTTTATAATTAAAGGGACTGTTAAAGAAATATGATTTAACATAAATTCGTTGGCATGGAGTTCTCAATTTTCAAAAATCCATTTATGGAAGTTTTGTACATTTTCGTTCATAAAAAACTTTCAGAATTTTATTAAACGAATTCTTAAATGTCATCATAGTGAAAATAGAAATAACAAAACAAATTTTTTTCCAAAAATTATCAAAAAAATTTATTTTACTAAATTTGTTAAACGTTAACGTTTATTGATGGGATTTATTTTAAATATTTAGAATTGTTCTAATAATGAACGTTTTTTATAAAAATATTAATATTTGTCTTACCAAATGTATTTTTGTTTGGTCTGGAAGGCTCATGGATATACCGTCTACATACAGATATAATTTATCCTTTTTGTTTCATTTAACTCCAGTGGTTGGCGATTATATCAATACAACGAAGACGACTTTTTTAGATTTTAAGTGTTAACAAACTTTTTTCGAATAACAAGTATCCATAATGTGTAACAGGTAGATTTAAATTAAAAATTTAATAATCGAAAGTTGTCTTCATTGTATTGATAAAGTCGCCTACCACTGTATCATTTAGCTTTAAAAACCATAAAAAAAATAAAACAACGTTGAATTTTAAGAAAATACATACAGGTCTCATCTTTAGAAAAAACTATCCCATTTATTTGTCTCTTTTGTTAGGTTTTAGCTTGCTTCCAAAAAACGTTGACTGGAGTGGATAGGCAGAATTTTAAAAATTCCCTCAAAATTAAAATTTGTACAATTTTCGAAAGCAGAAAATTTTGCTGAATAAACTAAGGTTATGCCACAACTATTTTTTTAGATTCCATTTTTCTTTGCAACCCAATTAAGTAGACCTTTAAACTATCAATTCTGTTGCATAAAGTAGTCTAAATATGAAACGCAAGTTACACACCTCTGGTATCTGCTCCGGTCGAGAGAGTCCTCCTAGTCCTGCCCAGGCAAAGGTAACCCGGCCACTTCTAGGATAGGATCACAGGGAGTAAGGAGGAGAGGAGCCGCCTGGTCTGGTACGAGCAGAAGGAGCTCGAACGCGCACAGGACCGGCCACA